GCGGAGACGAATTGACGTGGAGCGCAAGCTCTCTGCCCGTTGCTTCAGAGTTGGCCAGCGAGAAGCACAATGCGTACCGCGCTCTTGACGTCAATTGTTCATGCACGGTCAAGAGCATTGTAGTTGTGCCACTTGCGGCTTGGTCCCCTCAACGCGTAACAATCTCGCCTGGCAGTAGTATCGGAGGGCGAGAGCTCGAGGTCGCTGCTTTGAAGCGTCCTTCCGCAGAACGAGCGCACTCGCGCTAGAAATGCCTCTCAAAGCCACAAGCGCGGACTAGCTCGCGCTTGTATACCTTTGGCTGCAGTTTCAACTTATGGGTGATTGAAGCATAATAAACGCGTTAACACGTTACCCAGCAAGTCACATTCAGGACTGAGTAAATCCACGAGAGAGCCGTACTGCCGCGAAGTGGCGCTGCTTCTTGGGAACTCATGACGTGACGGCATTTCAACGGAGCTTCACAGACCGCGACCAGACGAAATTTGAAATATGTTCATTCGTTTTAAAACTGGTTTTCTTGACTTCTCTTCTTGCAGCCCAGAAACTCTAGTCTAGGCTAGTGTTTCTGGGCTGCCGGCACAACATAGACCACCTCTAAACAAAGAAACAAGTGCAAAACATTTCATGTCCGTACCCCTTTAAGCTGTAAATGCTTGTCAGCATGAGTGCTTTTCACAGCTTGACACGACGATCGCACTACTAATAAACGAGTGCATTCAGCCCTTTTATATTATGTCGCATGTTTGTATACATATATATTGAATTGTTGTTTGCAATTTATGTCAACAATTTCGGACAGTCTTTACAGCGCTATTTAAAGTCGATGTGTGTGTTGTTTTCTGTCAAGCATATAAACAAAAGTTTGCAATAAATTGTTTTCAATGATTACGTATAACATTAGAAAGTACCTTGCAAACAGAACGCTCAGTATCACCGGGATAATGATCAGGAGTACCGTAGGAGAAAGCCTCTCCTCCATGGTGTCAGCAATGGCGACAGCGTTCGCGGCAGCCCGGAGAGCATTTGCAGCCGTTTTGAAGCGCTCCGTGTCCATCATGGCCAGGACTGTACTGACGCGGTTGTTGATGAAATCCTCCGTTTGACCTACACCACACGAAGATTGTAAACACGGCGGCATTATAAATTGCCTACTTACAAAAACAAATGCTTTATCAACAATTATAATTTTGCCTTTTAATTTACGTTCAAGGCGAACATTTGTTTCTTGAATGAGCTTTTTACGAAAGGTTTCAATCACTTAACATATAATATTTTCTGAAACGGAAAAGGTGAACTTTGGTGCATTTACTACGAGGGAATTGCTTTCGCTGGTGGTAGCAAACGCAGAAGGGAGACGAGCGTCTTGACGATTACAGGCACTAAACGAGCTACGCTTAGAGAATCCGCATTCTGTTCACCGATACTGTTGTGGTCGCCGCCGCCATCTTGGTGCTTAGCACGGAGAAGAAGCAACTTCCGATCGTCAGGATTCAAAAGTGTGACTTCCTCAGCTTTAGATTCAGTGTCAGAAAGCTCATGTGATATTGCTTCACTCTGTCGCGAACTGCTAAAACATTTCTGGAAGACGGAAAAACGTTTCCTTTGACTTCAGATAAGGCCTAAGATAACTGAAAACCATAAGGTTAAGCACCAAGATAGGTAAGTGTCGTTACTCTGAAGCGTAGCTGATTTAGTGGCTCTAATACCTCCCATAGACGATTTGAAACAGGGTATCTGGCGGCCGATTTGTTTGAGCAAGCACCTGCAATTGCCGGCCTGCCAAAGCTATCCTCACGTGCATGCTGTGCGTGCTTGCACGCATTGGGCACCTGTCTGGACGCCATGCTTGCAAGCGTCTATACTTGGTCTCACCTTAGCATGGACTAACCGCAAATGCTGTGCTAGCGCGAGTGGCTAGCCTTGACTGCCTTGTCTGAAGCACTCGCTGCGCGAGCGCTCGTGCAGTCGCCGAGGCTTCATTCGAAGCAACTAGCTCGCGCTTTCAGCACGCGCGGCTAACAATAGTCCATACTAAGGAGAGACAAAGTATATATGGAGTATTTACTTGTGGCCATTGTTCTGTGCTCGACCGCTGAGTGCGTGCTGATCGCGAGCTTCCACAGTTCTTTTACAACGTGCTTTCCACACGATCAAGATTGAACATCTTCAAAGCCTAATAATGTCAGCTCGTTCTGAGCATGCGCTTTAAACAGCGCCCTCAAATATGGCGTCCAGCGAATACCTCCTGTTCGCATAAACAAGATAGGACGACCTGCCGAAACCCAGTGGCCGGAAGTCTCTTGGAAGGCCTGAAAAGTCTTGTGTTTCTAGGGTTCGTCTCTCCCGTATAGACCACATATATCGGTCAGTTTACGTACGTCCTTGAAGCGGAGTGTCGTTTCCCAGAGGTGCGTCGTCGGGAAAGTGGGTGATGCGTCTGCTGCTTGGAAGCACGGGTCCCATGTGGTGGAACATGAAGAGCACTCCCACCAGGGCGACCACCTTCACCAGGATTGCGACTAGCATGGTGTTGCTCAAAGCGTTGTGCTGCTTCAGATTGCCTTCTGCAACACTCGCCTCGTGCCCACGCTTGCAAAGTGGACATTGACTTAACTCCGCTTCTTTTTCTTCTAAACCTCGCCCTTGCCCTCAAGAAAAAAAAAATAGTGAACAATTATTCAATTTGGTTTTTGTAACTACAGCGAGATCCCGAAGCCGGGTGAAGCGTATAAAGTGACCTCATAAGTCCGCTTGATAAAGTATCACACTAGGATTTACTACAGAAGGGCCCAATGGCGGTAAAAACATCACATCTAAATTAAAAAAAACACTAAAGTAAAAAAAAGTTATAACTCTTTTTTTTTTTTATGTTCGGTCCATAGCCTCCTTTCAGACGCTTTCAGGCGGCTGTGCATGGGCGCCGCCATAACCGACCTTCAGTTCTTGTTTCCTGTTATTCCGTTCGCTTCACTTTATCATTGCCACTGCAGGGCAGGTTATCGCCTCTTTAGGTGCTACTGCGTCCTTCTCCCTTCATAGGCCCCTGTGGAAGCTCGTCAATGCCCGCTTCAGTGACTCGTCATTTCGGTAAAACAAGAGAAGGTCGGCTATGGCGGCTCAATCTGGCGCGTGATTAAAGCGTCTTATAGACGCTTTAATCACGCGTATACAAGAACTCTAAGGAGGGCCGAGTTTCAGCGGCGCCTCGTAGCGGGGTCTGGAACTCGGTATTTTATTTCGTATTTTTTCGGGCTGCACCAGTTTGTGTTAGCCTCTATAGCGTCGGCGGCGCGCGGGCGCAGCCATTACCACCAGGTGTTGGCTGCGCAATCTGAAATAAAGCAAACTGGTTAACAAATTGGACTCCTTCAGTATCCTTTACACAGAGAAAAACATATTACAGCATGAACGCTCTTGAAACCAGAAAACGCGATGAGCTGGCACGCATCCACGGAAAACAGAAGAACCTGATGAGGTAGGAGTTAGGTAGGAGGACCGAGTTTTCGTGCCGCCTAGTGAGAACGCCTGTCACTAGGCGGCGCTAAAACTCGGTCCTTAGCCGGGAGCATGCTCTTCCATAGGGAGCACTCAGATGGAGTGGTCGTTAGTATTGAGTTGGTCGAGGAAAAGGCTTTCGTGAAAAGGAAGCCGTCGAAAGCGCACATAGTACATTCATACACACACGCGCTTTTGTTTGAGTGGTGACATCTTAGCCATTATTCCGCCGAATAGTTTGCTTTGTGTCTTTTGAAGGGCGAGATATCCGGTGTGGCTCTTCCACAGGGAACGCCCAGATGGCGTGGTCGTAAGTAGTGCCACTAAATAAGCTACGCTTCAGAGTAACGGCACTTGTCCATATTGTGTCTTAAAATCATGGTTGCCAGTTATCTGGTGTATACAAGAACTCTAAGGAGGGCCGTGTTTCAGCGGCGCTCATCCCATCGTCCTTAGATGCGGCGCCGCAGGCCTTCCTGGTATGGGCTACTTGCCTTTCTGCGGCACCGCGGTTCTCCTGAACCAAAATAAATATTATTATTATTATTATTATTATTATTATTATTATTATTATTATTATTATTATTATTATTATTATTATTATCTGAAGCTTTATCTGAAATCACAGGAAATGCGTTTCCGCCCTCCACAAATGTTTAAACCGTTCGCGACAGAGCAAAGCAATATTACATGACCTTCCTAGCACCGAATCTAATGCTGAGGGAATCGCACTTTTGAATCATGACGATCGGCCGTTGCGTCTGTTCTGCATACGAGCCAAAATGGCGGCGCCCACAACAATGTCGTGGAACGGAGTGCCGATACTCTAAGCGCAGCTTATTTAGTGGCTCCAGTCGTAAGTATAGAGCTGATCGTGACCTAAGGAGCGCAGCCAGTACGCCAAAAATCTCTCAAGCCATGAATAAAAGCAGGCACTGAACGCACCTCCCCTTCAGCCGCCCAAGTGCAATCTTCAGGTCCTAAATAGTCGTTAGTTTTATTAGCGAGTTTTAGTAGACCGTACTTCCCCTTTTGCTAACCCCCTCCGCTGCCCGTAACTTTAGAGCCAAGGCCATCGGCGCGCAGGTGCAGTGGCGGTTTCTTCGTAGCGGAGGGTTATCGGTGGGGGAAACACGGTCTACTAAAACTTGCTATTTTTAGGCAACGGGAGCGTAGCCTTTTAGAGTCCGGCGACATCGTTACGCTCTATAGCGGAGAAAGTTTGAGTACGCAATACGACTGCTTCCCTCCATCCCTTTCTCGTGGCCTACGAGATTCTTACGGTCTCCGAGAATCTCGGAGGCGATGCTTGCTGCACTGTATCTCGGTTTCGGCCGCCAGAAGGTTTCGGCCGCCAGGCGTTTTTTTAAGAGAAAGCGAAAAGAGAAAGAAACGCCATATCCCGCGAGCTTCGTTTACGCGCAAGAGGCACGCGCTGTGCAAAGAACGAAGAAGCAGTAGACTGGACCGTTCGCCCGTCCGTCCCCGTCCCTACCAGTGACATGCAGGCTCAGGCGGAGGCCGCGAACCCTCTGCCTCTGAGCCGCTACGAGGGCCAGCCTAAGCGGGAGAAGTGGGCCAACAAGCTCGAGTTTCTCCTCTCCTGCATCGGGATGTCGGTCGGGCTGGGCAACATCTGGCGGTTCCCGTACATGGCCTACGTCAACGGCGGAGGTGAGACATTCTTCTCTGCTCTCCCTCCCACCTCTTTCCACTTTAGCAGGGCAAACGCTGGAGAGGAGGTCTCCTCCTCAGCAGCGCTTGCTCTGCTAAAGTGGAAAGAGGTGGGAGGAGCTTCCACTGAACTTTTAACCTGCAAGTATGGCACGCGAAGAACCCTCTCCAGGCGCTTGAGACTGGCCTGCCAGAAGTAAGCAGCCCATGGCAGCACCACGAAAACCATCACCGCGAAGATTGCTGCTAGGCCTAACACACCATATCATAATCACCATCACTTTCATCTGTACATTACATCATCACATAATCACCATCACTAGACACGGCACCGCGGGCCTCCTTGGTACGGGCTTTTGCCTTTCTGCGGTGCCGCGCTCTCCTGAGCAAATAAAAACATTAAACATTAAACCTGCCAACGACTATTGACGGCAAGAAGTTTCTGTGTTGCCATCTGGCGGAACCCCGGCACAACGTAATGAGGACGCATAACGGGCGTTCGTTCAGCTTCGCTGTCTCGCTAGCAACTTTCCATTTTTTGTTCAATACCATGTTTTTATGTTTGTTCTGGATAATTACAAATTTTGCGTCTCGCAGGTCTTCATCCCTGATTTTAATGCTGCTAACTGTAGTGGTCTTATTTTTTTGCACTGGGCAAAGCAAGGTGAAGGCGCTCAGCTCTAGTAATTTCTTTTCAATTTACATATTTTTTCAAACTTTAATTTACAGTTTCAGAAACATTTCTTGTCACACTTTGTTGGAAAACAATTATGCCACCATTGTTGTCCTGGTTTCCTCCCTTGAGATAAAAACCTACTAGTTCTCTGTCCCGATCGTTGTATCTTTAAAAACTCAGAAGCAGTCCTGCTTTCATTTGCATTTATGCAGACCCTGAACATTCAAGCTTAATCAAATCAGCAGCAGCACCACGTTTAATATTTTGGCAATTAGAGTGAAAAGTCAAAGCTCCCAGCATATAGAGCTTGAATGCATGTGAGTTTTTACATTTAGTGCAAAAATAAATTTTGCATTGTAAAGAAGCGGGCAGTTGAAAAGCCCGACTGGAATTTCTAGAAAAAAAGAAAAAAAAAGCACGAAAACAAGCCATTATACACAGTTCAAATTGAAAAAGAACTTCAAAGACGTTTACAAATCTCTGTACCTTCAAGTGGGTAAGCCTCACGAGGGTCATGAGGCTTACCCTCACGAAGGTTGCGAGGGTTACCCTCTCGAGGGTCACGAGGGTTACCCTCACGGGGGTCACGGGGTTATCCTCACGAGGCTTACAACGGCTACTTTCATGACAGTCACCCTTTCAAAGATTCCTGGCTTTGTTAACATTTTGTTTGGCGAAGCGAGTATTACAACTTGAGCTTGATCAATCTTCAGTAAGCGCACGCTGACGTCTTCTAACATTGAGTACATTTACTTAAACTGCTTTAATTGAGGTTTAATCATAGAGCCAGCATTAGACTCGACCTCTCCTGAAAGCTGTAGTAGAAGGCATACCGTATCAACACAATCGCACACGGTTTTCTGAAACACTTGTGGGCACGGGAGCCCCTGCAAAAGAACTATCACTCGTTTTTTTAGCGTAAACGTGGTACAAGCAGGATGAAAGAGTGAGTTGTCCGCATGGTCCAGCGGTACCCGTGCTCACACAAGGGTTGTCGTCGTGAAAGCATCTGATAAGTGATTCGAACACACCGTCGCGCTCGCCAACACCCTTTTACAATTCTTAAAGTTATCATCTCTACTTCCCCAGTTGTCTTTCTTTTGTATATGGATGGAAGCTCTTTCGGTCGCGTATCTTGCGCCTCCGGTGAGAGAACTAACGAACTAACGCGCCGCGTCCGAAGGCAAGCGACCACGTATGGAGTGCGATGTAAAAAAATCCGGCATCCTCAGATTCCAGATATTACGTTACATTCACACGCTGCTCAGTGGCGCCCCTTAGCTCCGTGACGACACAGGTTTAGAGCTGCTTGATTGACTACTTCGGATCTTTGTGTTGGCTGAGGTCGTATTTAATTTGAAAATTATTATGGCAGATATATCAGGGCACCTTCCAAATTTGCGGATAAGCTGATACCTAGAAGCACAGTCACACGTAAGGATCCGTCGCTTCCATTGACAGCCCATCAGATGTCATGCCTTTCTTGGTATTGACCTATAGCTCAACCATCCACGATTACATTCTGTCATAGAAAAAATTACGTTCTTATGCCCTTTCAGTCAAAAGACACAATGTTTTCGTCATAAATACCTAGTGCAATGTACCTATGTGATCTTCATTTATTGTTTTTTTTTTTTATATTGCACTGATTCTTGTCCTATCCCATCATTATTTCGCCATTTCTGGTAGTGAAACCAGCAGCATTTGAAAAGAGCGAACCGATTCATTAATTAAGAGGAGAGTCTAGCAGCGTGGCGGAGTTTTCGGTTTTCTATGTCCCTTTTCCTTGGTCGGAAAATAAGGCAGCATGATATTTAGCTCATGCTGCCTTATTTTCCGACCAAGGAAAAGGGACATAGAAAACCGATTTACTCAAGAGAGGGTGCATATAGGGTTCTAACACCAGGTGTATCAAATTTTGCTGTTCGTTTTGTTTTATATTTTATTTTCGGTTGTGTTCTCTGTTTACACATGACGTATCTGTGGCCAAACATATCTTGCATTTTGTTCTCGAGCACACAGTCGTGCAGTTGATGGCCAGCACGTGCTTCAGGCTTATTTGAGTAAACATGTTGCAGCGGCCTTCCTCATACCGTACATCATCTTGATGATTACTGTCGGGAAGCCGATGTACTACCTGGAACTCATCCTCGGGCAGTTCCAGAACCTGGGTCCCACGGCGGCTTTCAACTGCTTCCCCCTGTCCAAAGGTCAGCTTGCTTTTTGTCCTATGTAAATTGTCCTCGATTGTCCTGCGTTGTTTCGTAATAAACTTTTTTGTTTCCGTTTGGTACCGTTCAAAGACACACTATTGCGACAAGGTTTTATGGCTATGAGAAGTATTCACTGGTAGTAATAGCTGAATCCTTCGCAACGCTACTAGGTCAACTAGGTCGTGGAACCCTGCCGGAGAGGGTACCCCCCCCCCCCCCCCTCCTTAAATCCGCTACCCCTTCTTTGAATCGCCATCTAGATGCTGTGTTTCAGCGCCATATAGATGCTGTGCTTTAAAGCCTCCGTAATTCATAACGTACATGTACATTGTTCCCCGTCTACAAATCGGTGGGTCGCGAACCTTGCGGGAGTGCGGCACTTTTTGTGGATGCAGCATCGGCAGTTCCGTAACTGAGTTGAGCTAATAACGTTGGTCCTTGGCTACTGATTCGCAACGTAACGGCGAGCTTCCACTATGTTTTGCAACGTCAATTCCACGCTACAATTAGGAGCACGTTAAGAGCTTACGCTCAGAATATGTACCCCAAAATAATGTCGTCCGACGAATTTGCATATATATGCTATTCAAGAAGAGGGCTTCTGTCCGGTGCCTATTTCAGCGTTTGTGCGTACGGTTGCTCGCTTTGCGAAGCGAGGAATAGAAGCGTGCCGGGCTGTTATCTAGCACGTGTGAGCTGTGATTTTTGTAAACATTGGAATGGTGCATGTAGATCTTTAAGGAAAAAAAAGTGCTCCCGACGGGTTCCATTTTCACAGTTCCTATTTGTTTCACGTAGTTTTCTCTGACCCCCGGGAGGACGAATAGGAACGCGCTGGGCTGTGATGTAGCACGTGTGAGCTGTGATTTTTTTAAAAATTAGAATGGTGTATATAGATCTCTAAGAAAAAATGGGCTTCAGGCCGGTTCCATTTTCACCGTTCGTTTTTGTAGCACGTAGTATGCTCTGATCGCCGAGGGGACGAATAGGCGCGCGCTGAGCTGCGATTTAGCCTGTTTGAGTCGTGATTTCTGTAAACGTAGAAATGTTGTATACACAAACCGCTGCGGCCCTAACGCCAGTCTGCTGTTTCGGCACTGCTATTGGCTGGGCGCATATGCGCAGACGCTTCACGCAAATCGGGATCTTACGCACCCCAACGGCCACACTTATACGGAAAACAAGTCGTCTGCTTCTTGCAAAGGAGTTGCGATGACGTCAGAACGACGCCCAGCTCTGATTGGTTATGATTGAAAGGATTGTGGGTAGAGCTGAATACTGGATGCCTTGAGGCCTACCCACTATCTGTTTCAATCAGCCAATAAGAACTCGGCGGTCTGGCATCACTGCAACCCCTTTACAAAAAGCAGACGAACTTGCGTTTCGCACAGTCTGGGAATTGCCTGTTTTGCCCACATCTGGTTTGGGCTTGTTAGGAAACAGTGTGTTGGTCTATACATTTACGAAAAAGGGCATCTGGTCGGTTCGATTTTCAGTGTTTATGCGTGTGGCGCATGATTCACTCGTTTTACGAAGCGACGAACCTGCGCACGCTGGACTGTGCGGATTGCAAGGTGGTTTGTTAATTTGTAAACATGGGGAGGGGGGATATATAGCAGACCGCTTCTGCAGGCTGGATTTGTGTGGCACCACACTGCTCGTCGGTGTGACGATGCAAAGCATGAGCGCTCGCGTCACTGCTTCGCAGGGTTGGGCGTGTGCATGGCCTACACCTGCTTCTTCATCTGCCTCTACTTCAACGTCATCCTGGCGTATGCGCTCATCTACATCGTGCACTCCCTGAAGAGCCCGCTTCCCTGGGTTTCCTGCGATCAGAAATGGGCCAACGAGATGTGCTTTGACAGGAACGAGACCAGCTGCCGAACCGTGAATCACCATCTCTTTGACAAGTAACGCACGCAGACATCAGCTCGTTTCACTGTTGAGCGAACTTCGTGAGCATGTAGAGGGCCCTATTTCACTTACCCTCGCCGCGCGATCCGTCACGTGATCGCCCGCTCTCGGGCGACCTTGGCACTGCTGGGCAGCATTCTCTCCTAAAAGATATGTGCGGGACCTAAAGCGTTGTTGTGCCTGGCTTACCGTGATTGACCAAATGACGGGCATAACATATTTTTTTAGACTTTCAAGTCTGACCGTGTTTTGGTTTAAGAACGACATGGCTCCTAGCCTCCACGGTGCTTTCTCCTCACTCCTTCATCGTAAATGATGATAAGTAGCGAGGATCACAATTCTCGACGTCACTCCGATGGAAACCCTGGTCGTGACGTCGCGAATGCAAGACATAAGAGGGCGCCATCGAAGCATCTCCGCGATAAAACTACGCTCACCTCGAAGCAGACCGAGCGGTAAGAGCTACGCGCTTGCCGGGCCAACCAACCTCTCCGTTTCAACTCCTGAATCCCCTCCTTGCACGTGCGTGGGTGCGGGTGATTACGTGGCGAACGATTTACGTATAACTCATTCAACGAGCATGTAGCATTAACACAATTTTCAGTTTATGCGTGAAAGGAGCCTAGATTATCACTATCTTTCTTCTTGGCTACCATCTGACCCAGGGCTCTTGTTCCAGCTGGTCCAGCTGCTGAATAATTGCACCTTTGGCTCAGTATGTAATTGTGGACTTACGGAGAAATCAACATTTAGGGACGCTGTAGACACCGCCGTCATAGTTGACTGCTCAAACTGTTGTACGTTCTGTGCACTGAGAAACTGAGGAAGAGGAGAGGGGACGTGAAAACGCCAAGCTCTGGTTGGAACGATTAGTGGGTAGACCTAAAGCTAGCTACCCCGAGAGGAAAAATCCATCAATGTAACCCTGTTTGGCAGTCAATGTTTCCTAGTGAACCGCTGACTGTGCCTGACTGTAAGTCAAGCATGTCTCTGACCGACAGTCAAACTCCAGTCAGACTCCACTTGTCGGCTTTCTGATGGTTTCCTGGTGGCAGTCGGCCGCCGCGAAATGCCATTAAGATGTCTTGGTGGCGATTCTGATTGTACATCAATTGTCTCTGACTGTACGTCAAAAAGCTTTGACGTGCAGACAGACGTACGGTCAAAGGACGTAAAGTTCGTTCGGATACTATTTCGTTAAATCTATGAATACGAAAACTAATCTATGCACCAGAAAACGATTTAGGGACGTGAGCCCATAAAACCGCTGATGTTAGAGATATGACACGCAGCCGACCGACGACCTTGATCAGAAGCCCGCCTAAACGCCGAACATGCCACTTCGCTTCGCCCATAGAGGCTTTGCCGAGCTTTCAAGAACGGTCGCTCTCGACTCGTTTTGTTTGCCCGCTTGCTCCAACCTGTGGATCCTGCCCGGGCTCTACAATGTCTTATGTTTTAGTAGAATTTCTACTCGACAAGACCCAGCCTCTTGTGAGTTCCGACGATGTAAGGGACTTTAGCGGCGTAGTTGAAGGCGACAATGTGTACCAGGTCTACTGGGCCGGAGACGCGCAAACAAAAGGATCGTTCTACGACGCGAAAGTACTCTACCTGGCAGGTGAGTAGAACTGAAGTACGGCGAGTGATGTACGAGTGCTTTGCATAACATGTTGAAGGCTTAACTGCATTTGCAGCTGAAGCATCTCGTATAAAACGAATGCTAAAATCGAGATTCCAAAGCGATGGCATATCATAGAGGTTAAGGTGTCCGATTTGTACGCAAGTGGTCACGGGTTCCATCTGCGATGGTCTTGCTTTTTCCTTCTTTTTTTTTTTTCTCGAACATTTTGTTTTATCGAGGCATTTGGCGATATTTATGAGTGCGTATAGCTTTACTCTTATATAAATGCTGCCATTGTTCACGAAATTCCCTTGGCAGTGGCAGTCAAACGTCATCTGATGGACCATCAGATGACGTCTGATGGTCCATCACGTTCCACCAAGGCTGCTGACTGGCAGTCAGTGTCCCAAATTACGTATCTTGATGGAATTTTCAATAGGGACCTTTGTCTCCATTGCACTCGTCGAACGCTTTAGAACACGGAACGGCTGCGTCCGGCGCTTGGATCTTGCATTTGAACGTGTTCGTCGAGTGCAGCGGAAACAGAGGCAGCTAGCTTTAGGTCTACGCACTAGTTATTTGAATCAGAGCTCGGCTTTCTGGCGTTTCCCGCGCGCTCTTGTCTCCTCCTTTCAGTCAGTTTCTCGGCGCATACAAAGCCGACGGTGGTACTCGAGGAACTGTGTAAGCAATAAAACTACGCGAAACAAACTTCAGACTCGCACATTTCTTACGGTCTCTCCTTAATCACTAGTGAGGAGTTTAGCCTACAAAGAGGATCAGGAAGTTGCAGTTTCAGTAAATAAACTTCAATAAAAAAAGGAAGGAAGGGAAGGGGGTGTACCCTCTCACAATATTAGTAAGTTTTGTTATTGCGTATACTATAGCAAACGCAAACAGTGTGCGTTTGCGTTAGCGTTGCGTGTGCCAGATTCCACTTGCGTCGGGAGTCCTAAAACTGCGGTGCGCATTCGCAGCTTGAAGCACGCGATGCTAGCTCAAACGTACAGCGGTTGCGTCTGTTATTTTACGCAATACTAAAGCTCTCTATTCATTCATGGCCCAGACGTCTGCGAAGCTGCGGTGTGTCCACTTGTTCTGTAATGCGAGCGTTATGACCGCTGATGGCTGAATAAATGCATTGCGTGGCGAGTTTCGAGCACGTTGTTTTTGCACCGCGGCCAAAAGGATTGCGGTACTAAAGCGAATAAGGTCACCGGAGAACAAAGAGACTCTTCCACAAAATGGTGAAATGATGCATAGATTATGCGCAGCCACCATTTGTTGGTCTCATCGCTTCCGGCGTCAAGCCCGTAATTGGTTCCGAGATTACGCCGAGCGCTGACGCAGCATTCGTGTGGAATGCGTTTCGATCCGAGTGCACTCCGAATGCTGATAAAGCGCTCGTGTCCAGTGTGCGCTCATATTGCATGACAAACTAATGGCGGCCGCACATAATGTGTGCATCATTTAGAAGGGTCTATTGCTGCGTTTCATGAGCTGTCAATGACTACAGCAGTAGTCAGGTCGCCTGCTAGTTTAAAACAAATGGCGCTGAACCTGTTAGGCAGGCGTAATAAATTGTTTTCTCGTTGTGGAATTATATTTTGTGTTGTAAAATTATTACGAAGAACGCAAAGGAGGTTTAGTGAAACAATCCACATTTTATTTACCAAAAAAAAAAACAAAAAAAAAAAACCAAAGGATGCCACTGAGAGAATGCTGTTAAAACGTTTTGACTGGGTCCGGCATCAATTTACAAAAAGCGGACGGAACCTATCGCTGGTTCTAATCAATTCAGATGCGCACTGAACCCATAAAGTAAGATGTAAACGTGATAATCGAGAAGACACATTTTATATTTATTATAGAAGGAATACGGCTACACGTCAACCTTTAAACATTAACACTTACTTCATTTCGCATAGGCTCAGGTAGTTATAAAAGGAAATGAATCTATGGTAAATTTTGAAGTGGCTGACTCTAGATATAAAATTGTTTCGTAAATGATTGACATAAACTTTGGAAGAAACAAAAAACAACTAAGCGAAGGAAAATGAAGGAAAATAGCCAGCAAGACTAGTTGACAAAAATTTTGCATTGGAAACTAAATAATTAGTTCAGAACAAAATGTAAAAAAAGGAGAGGGCAGACCAGGTGTCGTTAAAGCAGGTCAACCTATTTTTGACTACTTGCCTTAAATACATATGCTGCATGGCGGTTTAGACGTGATGAATGTTTGAGGCCTTTGCTTGGTGTCGAGAACTACGAGCTCGCGCCCGCTTGATTGTGTAATATAAAAGTTGGAAAACCAAAAATATTCAGAATTTATGTAAACGAAATCGAAAACATGGTGTATGTTTGACGGCATTTGTTTAGTTTTCTTACAACCTCTCATTGATTTCAGTTTGTGCTCGGTACTGTCATGACAACAGTGTTGTAGGCGTCACAGAAGAAAAAGTAACGGAATACGTTGCTCATTACCTCTTAATAAAATAGAAATAAAGCGTCACCGACCTACTTTACATTACTATAAAAGAAATATGTTATCGTTACCAATAAAAAGTAGTAGCGCAGGTTAATTTTGTATTACTTTTTATTTAGAGAACGAGGGCGTTTTTCTACACCGCGATAAAAGGCGCGGTCTTTGGGGTTTCTCCAAAGTGGTAGCGTTTGTGCAGGGAAAAGAGAGGCAAACATTTGAAAGTATGTTGGGTCACTGCCCGAATTTGTATGAGTTGGCGCTTAAAAATGTGAAAACAATTGAAGTGTAATTTTTTTTTAAACCTTGGAAACAAGTAACGCGTAACGTTACTCCGTTAAACGATACTTGGCATAAGTAACGGAAATGCGCTATCCGCTACCACTTTGAAAATATAAAAAAAATAAATTACTACGTTACCGTAAAAATAAGGCGTTACCGGTAACGCCGTTACATATAAGGGGTAACAGCCAACACTGCAAGACACTACGCGATTCTGAGATGGCGGTGGCCAGGGCCATCGCAGTATCACTTCTTATTGCAATTACCTACCCTGACTGTTTCTCTTATTCCTTCCTAAAGCTACGTCGACCAAGTCGTCACCGCGAACCGGACAGTAACGGTTACTCGCGGCAGCAAATCCGTTCCTGTTCCGTACGAGGCTTACATCAACGCGAGCTACGGCTGTACCAATGCCACGCAGTCAGCGTCAGAGCAGTTCTTCTAGTAAGTACAGTGCTTCTTCGCATAAAATGAGCAATTGCTATTCTTTTTTACTTCTTTTTTAAATAGCGAGGGCATCTGAAATTATCATTCAACGCTTACAAATCTACGGCCCATCGCGCGTGTTCGTCGCTTTAGAAAGTGAGCAAACCAAGTGCCTTTATTCGCAAACGCTAAAAATGGCACGGGGACAAGACTCCTTATGTGGATCGCACGTTCGTCTGCCTCTTGCACAATGCTTGCGACAATGTCAGAACGCTGCGCTCCTATTGGCTGAATGAAAATATGGCGGGTACACCACGAGGCATCTAGCATCGAGGTCTACCCACTAATCTTTCAATACAAGCCAATCAGAGCTCGGTGTTGTTCTGACGTCACCGCTACTCCTGGGCAAGAAGCAGACGACTTGCTCTCCGCAGATATCAAACGCGGAAAGATGGCGAGCGCCATGGCGATGCTCTTTTGTCGCGGCATTGATTAATAGTTCCATGGGACCGTTGAGTCGGATGCGGTCGTCGGACTAAATGCGAAACGGAGTGTGGACCCCCGTTTCGAACGACTGCTCTCGGGTGGCAGCTTTGGAAACCCTGCACGCCCTTACAAAAATGATCAATGAGTTTCAGTTGAGTTTCTAATGTATTTCTGTAGAGTCAGTTGAAACTCGATACAAACTCAACGTCTAATGAGTTTGGTCATAAGAAACTCAATATCGATGCTTTTGAATTTACTCCCTATGAATGGAATTGAGTTTGGTGATTAAGAACTTAATAAATATTCTTTTGAATTTACTCATTGAGAATGCAATTGAGATTGGTATAGGAAACTCAATATCGATTCGATTGAATTTACTCATTAGGAATGCGATTGAGTTTGGTCAAAAGAAGCCTAATATCAATTTCATTGACTTTGCTCATTAGTGATGCAATTGAGTTTGGTCTTTAAGAACCCAATATTGGTTATTTTGAATTTACTCATGAAGAATGAGATTGAGTTTGTTCATTAAGAGTGCAAACTATATTCGTTTGAATTTCCTCATGAATAATTCGATTGGGTTTGCGTGTTTAGAGCTCAGTATCCATCTATTTGAATTTATTTATTAGATATGCAAACGAGTGTGGATTTAGCGACAGCACCGAACGATCATTACTTGTACCAAGGCGTTTTTTTTTGTTGTTGCTTTGCTTTGTTTTTACTAAGAGATAGGGTCTAACAACGTCACAACACTGTTTATAATTTACCAGACTTTTGAGGAGGGGATAGCATACTAAGAGCCCCGATAAATATTGAGGTGGTCACCGGCCAAATGAATACCTTATTATATATTTATACGTAATAAGGTGGTGGAGTTGTCAAGGGAGAGTGATTAGTGCGTTGTGACTACATTATGATGTTTCTGTTTGTTTCCTTAATGTGCATTGTTTCCTCCATATTCTATGCTTTCAGGAATTATAAGATGAAAATTCCCCACACATGGCAGGATGTTTTTAAATGCAGTTAGAAAAACGTTTATTGAAACATTTAAAATATTCCTTTGAAACTCTATTGCGAAAATTAAATTAAAACACTATTTAAAAAATAATAAAGTGCAATCGCTAAACATTTAATTAAACGCAATGTCGAATAGCCTGTGAAGGTACAATATGACTCAAAAAAAAAAAAGAAACTATTGAGTTTCAATGGATCGTTTCCAAGAAGCGAACGTTCTGCGCACGCGCGAGCGTCCGATGCCAAGCGGTGGAAGTCGGCACGAAAAATCGAGGGAATTCCGAAGGAGGCTGTTGATCAGCGAGTAGAACACGTAATTGCAGCATATATATATATATATATATATATGTGCTGCAATTATATATATATATATATATATATATACATATATATATGCAATTATATATATATATATATATATATATATATATATATATATATATATATATATTGTATTACACCATCTTCCCGAAGGGAACCATGGGGTGATGCGGAGCATCGCGGATCGTTATTAACGGTGCTATTAACGGTGTTAGTAACGTTGTTGAACTTCACGGTCCTGAACCTCAGGTTCTGCTGCTCGACGTTCACGAACCAACGCGGCTTCCCGTTCTCGAAGGTCGGGTTCCGCCGCTCGCTTCATACGTTTGCGTTGAACTTCACGGTCCCGAACCTCAGGTTCTGCTGCTCGACGTTCTCGAACCGCCGCTGCTTCACGTTGTCGTAGTTCAGCATCCGCCGCTCGACGTTGACGAATGGACGCCGCTTCTCGTTGCCGTAGTTCAGGGTCTGCCGCTCGCTTCAAGAGTTTGCGCTCAGCGTCGCGTGCCCTTCGCTGTGCAGCTTTGTCTTCAGTGGACGTAGCGTTGCTGTTAGTTTGTGGGGTGGTGCTTGCTTGCGCCAGCCCACTAACTGACGTGACTGTTGCTTCCATCACACTTCATCGGAAGAACGAAGTGAAGTGGAGTCAACAGCGGTAAACTGAACGCGTGCAGCGCGCTACCGCTGCTTATATTCACACTTGAAGGAGAGGAGACTAGAGGAGGAGAGTTGCGCATGCGCGCGCGGTGTGAGTAGAAGCGAACGCACGCGAAGTGCACGCAGCTGGTAGAGAGTGAGAGCGGAGAGAGTAACGCGCAGCTGTTGGAAAGAGGGAAGGAGGAGTGTTGCGCGTGCGTAGTGTGAGTGCGGACTACGACGCCGCGGGACATAGACCCGATCAAGAGATGCTCCGCATCTAAAAACACGACGTTTGGGTGGACGCCACGGATGCCGCTCTTTAAACTAGCGTTGGGCACGATCCGCAGCTCAGAGAGCGAAGAAACTGGTAGCGTAGCTTCGGGAGGCACTCACTTGATCGAATGACGTTTTAGCGAACGCCCACGTTTCATCGAATGACACTTTAGCGAAGAGTCAGACGCCGCGAAGCGGCGTTTTCGGGTGGGCCAAGGGAGTTCATATTTTTGTAATGAGTTGCCGCAGACTGTCGCCGCGAAGCGGCGTAAAGCGCAGCGCGACGGATGGGTTAACGCGCGCCCCCGTTATTCGCTAAAACGACCATTCGCTCAAATGTCGCCGTTCGCTAAAATGTCATTCGCTCTTGTGATATGGACCCCGTAGCTTCCATTCCCGATTGGTAGCGCAGTTAGGTCACTTCCTCGATTTTTAGTTCGTGCAGCCACCGTCTGGTGCCGTCGGTATATGGAAAAGGTCCATTGAGACTCAACTTGGTGTACTGAGTGAATTCTTTATAATTATCGCTTCATTTTTCGTAAGGGCGATGTCGAACTAAAACCGCAACGTCACGGCATACTTTATGCGTTTGGTTGAATTAGAAGGAAGCAAAAAGGCTCCCGCAGAAAATGAGATGAGTAAAGTGACGTTGCACTTTTGACGCTGTCTGATTGGCTCGTCGGCATCTTGGGTTGGCCGCGCTCCTACGTTCACTATCTTATGGAATGACTGAAACGTTCTACGATGTCTGTTGTTCCGCTATCGTGCGGTGGTTTCAACCTTTTAATAATCGGCGTGTGACTTTCGAAAGGGGTCCAAAGTGAACGCGGCATGACGTGTGTTGGCATCTTTAGGATTCTCCTTGGTACGAGGCACGCACGAAACATGGATGTCCCACGAAAGGCCCATTCACACACTTGTCACTCTTTAGAACTGAGCGCGCGCTCTAAAACCACTTACAATCTCTTACGACGAGAGGACACACTGACACGCTGGCGTGATTTTTGCGATGACCCTGGAACTGCATTGCACCAGAGCGATGGTTTGGCGTTAATTGCGATATCAAATATATGTACTAATTATGAAAAATCTTTGTTCATAACATAAAAAAAAGATTTCGAGCCAAGAAAGCAAGAATGATGCGGGGAAAAAAATGGAAACTATACAAGACCCCCAAGTGCTCCACTGCTACCCGATAGGAGGTGCCAGCGTGTCATCCCGTCGTAAAAGATTTTAAGAGGTTTCGATACATTCGGTTCTAAGAAGTCTCCAGTGAGGTAACGGGCCTCAAGTCGCGGCCATATCTCGACGTAACGCTGTCAAACGATCGCGGTGAAATGCTATAGCTGCATGCAAATATGCCCTTCAGTCGTCCTTTCAAACTTCTCTTTGAACCCATGGGAAACACGCCAGATAAACACCTAAGTTGGCACAAGCCTGGGAGCCCAAGGGGTCTAACTTGCGCAGGATGCGGTTTTTTTCTAAGGCTTTAATTACTGCCAGAGTATTTTTCTTTTGCCTTTCTGCAACTGCTCTGGCTCGCCGCGTAATTGCCGAACTGCCAGACTTCAGACAAAAGGGAGTTTTCGTAGATCGTTTTCGCCGTCCCGCAACGGTCTCCGCAACTCACTGCGATACCCGGAACTCTACAGTCAAGGCCATCGGCTCGCGGGCGCAGCAGCGGCTTCTTCGTTGCGGAGAGCTTAACGGAGGAGGAATCGCGGTCTCCGAAAACTCCCTGAAGATACCACGTATACAAACCGAAGAATCATGCAGTGAAGCGTACATGTGGCGCTTGTTTTGGCAAATTATGCCCAACATGTTCACTTGAAGACCAACGATGAGAAGTGGTTATGCCTCAATCTGGCGCTTGCTTGACGATTTAGGCCCGAAGATGCCAGGGCCGCGGCTTGCTTTAAACGGCGTCTCAGCTGAGACTGGGGGGAAATAAAGTACTGTCAAAGCCAGCGCACGACCTGAGCGTGACTCAAACCACATATCTCACGACGCTCGCGGGCCCCCAGCCTTTGCAGTGCTTTCTTTCACGCAGTCTCAGCTAAGATGTTCTTTCTAGCAAGCCGGCCCAGATGGCAGCCAGACTACCAAAACCGAAGCATAGCTTTGGCACTTGCTTGGCGAATTAGGGCCAACACACCCAGGCCTTTGCCAAAGAAGAACAAGTTTGGCTCTTCCTTGGCTTCTTCGGACTTTCTAAATTCCCAGACAACAACCATATTTTCGCCCAAAGAGCGGTGCCGCTTGAGAACGCATTGTGTGAGTTCTTTCAGACACTATAAAGGCGGAAATGAATAAGCTCTCGATTCTGAAAGCCCCAGTGGGGTGGGAAGTAAAGGTTTAGGCTTTCTGGAAGTCACCAGTGTAGTGACGTGTGTTCTACTAAAATATCAAATGTATTTAACTGATTGTTACATCTCCAAATTGGGAATATCGATGAATTCTCAATGTCAACTTCTGTCTCGGCTGCTGGTCCCAAATCGCCTCGCCTAGTGCTGGCTTGCGCGTGGTCTTCAGTGCGTCCTCCTCTCCCGGCACCTCCTCGCAGCGAATCGCTCAGCTGGCCGAAGGGAGAGTGGTAGTCCCAAACGGCAGGTCGGGTCTTGGCCCTTGCTGCGCGCGGGGTCTTCTGAGAATGCCGTCTGGGGGACGTGTCGGTGGAGAGGAATGTGCTCGCCGTTATGCCTCTCGGCCGCACCGCCACAGCCTCAAACCTAAACGTAAGCTACGAAAGAACAAAAATAAAGTTGCTTTTGGGCAGCGCCATATTGCTACCAAGCTTGTGCACTCTCAACAAAAGGGTTGTCGTAGGGTACTACACTTGGGGTAGTCAGAAGCCGTCACAGATATCGCTACCCCCGCTTCGTTATACTAACAACCCCATGGGCAGTCACACGGCACGCAATCAGCAGGTAATCACAGCGAGCACCCCCAAAAGCAACATGGCGGCTGGCGAGCGACAGTGGAGCAATACGAGTGAGGCCTAGCGAGCTGGACTGCTTTTTGCTAAAATACGATTCTCAAGTGCGTACGCCCATTCGCTGCCTTCCGTGCGCACAAAGCACTCCGAAACGCGCCTCGAAGCACCGGCACCGCACCTAATACGAGTAGGGGCGACGATGTGAGGAGGGGGGGGGGGGGGGCGCATTCGAGGGGGTTTGTCCGCGATTGCTTTCGCGAGGCCGGCTGCATTTACTTCGCGGCCAGAAAACATTCAAAGAAGGAAACAAAATAGCGACAAATGGAATGATGTCTTTATTGCACAGAGCATCTGCTTGTTGGGCTTGCCGCAAGTGATCCGGCGTTTTCGGTTGACAGCGGCGAGGCGAAGCATCACCGATTTAAGCGGCGTCCGTTCCGATCGTTCAACGCTCCTGCCCACTTGTTAGCATTCGTTATCCACTTTGAAGTCCCTGGTAATCCTCACCCCGTCTGTGCACGCACTTGGCGCTATTCACCGCACGGAACACCCATTCAACTGGCTATGGTACTGATCCCATTTGGACGAGAGGCCGAGAACCGAACCAGACCGAACCCTTTGTGGCTGCTACGTGGAGCCATGGAAAGCCTCCATGTTTTTCACTCAAATAAGTAGACACATAAACGCGCAACCCCTTGAATTGGGCGGCGACACGCGCCACCTAACGGACAGCGCTCAAACTAAAGAAAAAAAGAAACCAGCAATTCTTGCTCTGAGCGCCTCGCCGGACAATGCCGTACGTTCATATCCCACGCCACACTTCACTCATACGCGACATACAGACATCACTACATCAACGCATTCAGAAACAGCACAAGATACAACATCACATGTTGACACTCTACATTCCTATACACAAGGGTAGTCGACACCACCAGCTTATATACTGCTGTATTTTATGTGACCGATTAGGATGGTGACCACTGTCATATTTCGCATAAATACGAAAAGACTGTGCAAGATTTAGCCGTATATGTTCTTTTCCTCTACTGCCCTTAGGAAAGCGCTCGTATCTCTAATGTAGGGCCATTGCAAAAGTGAACTGCAGGTTATAAATAAATTTGAATAGTTGCTACACGTCACATTTTGAACAGTTTCGTTTTCTCGCTTGCCTACACTTCAAATATACAGAAGCCTGTTTAATTAATTGTATTAATTATCAAAACCAATTTCTGCAATCACAACTTTCTGAACATACTGATGCATTTTCTTTTCTCTTTTTACATATCCAGACTGAATTTAGCGGCGGTTGGGTACACGTTGAGTACACTGAGCACGCGCAGGTGATTTTAGCGAAGCCCGTCCGCCGGTCCTCCCCGAAGCGTTATTTCAGTTTTCTTCTTTTCGCTAAATATCCGTTCTATGTATTCGCGCTCGCGCCAAGAGGACAGTGCAGAATTGCTGCTTTCGGGCCCGTGCCTTCACCTGCAACGAACGCGAAATACGTATGCTAAATTATCTAAATCCTGCTCGAGACAGTAGTGTCTGACTGCGTGCGTCTGACTGCGTTGCGGCAGCAAGAAATCAGGACATCCCTGCTGCTTATATCGCGTGCCAAGATGATTCCTTGAATTGGATTCCACGCTTGATACGAAGCACAGACGTGCCGGTGAGTGGCTTTCGGTTCTCGACGCAACGCTGTCAAACGCTAGTGTCTGAACCGGCCTTGTTTGAAGCATTTTTTTATCGAGTATGCTCGATGAAATGTGCCAAATGAACCAGAGAAGGCGAATCATGTACCTCGAGACAGAGAAATAGTGAAATACACGGACATGATCCCAGATATCTGTGTACGTTCGTCTTGTCCGGCCTCAGTCGTGGTGTTCAATGCCCCATACTTCACTGCACTTGAAAGCAAAAAAATTGGGTAGGACAGGCGCGCAAGTTCGGCGGAACCGAGGAGGCCAGTTGCAACTGATCTGCACGCAGAACTGACCGATCACACCTTTTTTTGAGATTACGCTCTTTACTGAGCCGCACAATAAAAGACGACGAGAGTATCTCGTCCGGCGAACATTCAAGTCAACTCACGCCTGTGCGTAGCTTCCTGTGCTTTTCTAGAGATTTGGTTAAATTCCTCGAGCACGACGCCAGCTGCCAGCTGTTTACTGCTGTACATGCTAAAACCCGCGACGGAACCAAAAAGGACAACCGCGATACTTTTTATCTGCCTCGGGTTTTAGCAGGTGCCTACCAAGGTTGCCTGTACTTGTTTGTTTTCTGCCAGTTTAGGCGAACTGAGCCACACGCTTGTTTCGACCGGTTCAAATTTGAATAAATGATAACCAACGCACAAAAAAAAACACGTTTCAAGTTTTTTTTTTTTTTTTAGATTTTTGAAGTGACTTTTACTATTGAACGACTGCATGCACTTGAATGTTCAATTCAAGAGTTTATAAAACGTGACTACCCCATGCTTGTCACCTGCCAACAGGGTGCTAACTCTCAATGGCTCGAGCCCAGCGGGTAGTTAAGTAAGCCTGTGGGGTAGTTACAGCCGTCAAAACGCACGATGACGAGGGGGGGTGCTCACTTTTTCTTAGAGTGTGTTCGGGCCCATGTGTTGTCTGACATGGCATCGTCCGGGAAATTGCGTATTGTACACCCAATGATAGCAGCCAGCTGTGCCCCCCAAAAAAACATCCTGCAGTGAGGCTTAGCCTGTTGCTAATTTATCTCTCGCTTTTTAGTAAGCTTTCTTTTTACTAGGATTGTCATGTAGATAAAGGCCAACGCACTGTTTACAAACAAGTCCACACAAAGTGTGTCAAAAGGCAAAGTTTCTTAAAAAAAAATTGGTACTGATATTGGCGAAAACATTTCTACTAATCCAAAAATGGTACCACTAGTCAAATTTACCAGGCAAGGGTAAAACAGAGCATGTGAATAGATATTCCCTAACGAAGTATGAGGTATATTTTGTTGCAGCCGACAAGTGCTTTCGATGAGCCAAGGCATCGAATTTCCCGGAGAGCTTCAATGGGACCTAACGTTCTCCCTCTTCCTGTCTTGGGTCTTCGTCTATATCGCGCTGATAAAAGGAATCAAGACCTCGGGAAAGGTGAGGCAGGATTCCGTATAAGCCTAGATATAGAACCCTCTTATTGACAACACGTCAGTGTAGTCTGGTGTAATTAACGCGAGCAATTGTTCAGGCTGTATGGAAGGTTTATAAATGGCGCTGTTTTCTCCGTAAAATTAAGCTATGAATTGTTGAATACTCAGTATATTTCCCCGAATGTAGGGTTGCGGCTGAGGTGAGAGGCCAAAGACTCAGGACCTAACGTTGCCTGTTTGAATACTTACGAGTAGTTTACGGATAACTTTACTAAGAAGTAGTGGCCAAGCAATACCCATTCTTTATGTAGACGAATAACGCCTGCTATCGCAAACGCGCTTCAATACAAAAACATTCCTGGATATCACGTATATCACGCTGTAGCCGTCTATATCCCTGCAAACGTTAAATCGTGTATTAATTCTGTTCATGAATTTTTTTGTTATTTTTATTCAGTCGCTAATTTAGCGAAATTTAGATTATTTTTTAGCTTGTTACCCAAAAACTTTGCATGTATGATTGTTTTGCCTATGCATTATTTACTCCCTTTAAGAATTGCAGATGCGACAGATAGCTTCGTCAGACATTTGTGCCCTTATTTTATGTCTCCCCTTAGCTTGACCCCCTCAAAATAAATGGACATATATGTTCAATTCAACGACCACAACATGTGTGTGCCAGGAGTGTTGAGCGTATGAGCGATGTACAGACGCATTGCGAAGGGACGCATTGCCATATAATTGCCTGTTTTGTCTTGTGCGCAGATAGTGTACTTCACGGCTCCTGCTCCGTACTTCATCCTGACGGTGCTCCTTATCCGCGGTGTCACCCTTCCTGGGTCCATGAAGGGCATCAAGTACTTCCTCCTTCCGCGCTGGGAGAAGATGTTCTCTTTCGTGGTGAAAAACACTTTGGGATATGCCTGAATACACGCAAAAGTCTTATGGTTGTTAAAACTAAACGCATCTAAAGAAGTGACGAAACAACACGAAGCAAGCTTCTGATTTGCTTCTTGCCTTTCCGTTCATTACCAATCGGAATCAGGCAGCACTATGTATATTTCTTCTACCCGTATTCCTTCTTCAGCTGTTTTTTTCCACTTCATACAGACAGTACCCCGCATTATATTCAAACCAGTTGTTTTGTTCAACAATGCATCCCTGTATGACGTGTTTTTGTTTGTCCGTTGTTGCGCCTTTCTGTTTAAAAATCATAGAAAAATATGTAACCAACATGCTCTCCCGCTTTTATTTAAACTTTTAAGGAATACTTTAACAAAATTTGAAATATCGTGTTCAGAAATAGGTTGAATATGATCCACAATATCCGTAAATGACAATCGCACGTTTGTATTTCGAGCCTCATGGCTGTATTTTTCGTTATAAATTGCCCTCTCTGGCAAGAGCTCGGAGAGAAGTCAGCGGAGAGCACGTGATATCCGCCACTATCGTGACGTAGATTGTCTCGGGACGAGCAAGGCTGCGACAAGGCTGACGTTTAGAGGATGTCCTAACCACAGAAGCGGCCGAAGTACGTCAACGATCGAACCACCGCAACTAACCCCAAAGCTGCTTTTTGTACGAATTTGGGTGACGGGTTAATCTTCTATGATCTCGTACAGCGACATTACCGACATCTGGGACACGCAAAAGAGAGTCTCGGGGGAGAGGAGAGATACTCCTTCCCCACTTCTCTCGTGGTGGTCGGAGGTGAGACAGGTATCGCCACTACCTGTCAAGATTCCGAGACGGGCATTACAAGCAAGGCATTAGCGACATCCACCACGTAGTCTTTGCTAGTCGTTTAATGTCTTTTAAAATTATTTTCGTCTCGTTTTTAACAAGATGCTGGTGTGTCTGAGGGGGTACTGCTCTCTGGAACACAAATAGACCATATATAAGCGCCAAAATTTCGATGTAGTATCCCTTTAAGCTTGAGCGATGCCTTACCCTCATATTAATATCGCGCTAGTTAGGTCTCGTGCCGTTATATACGGCGGATCTCAATCAAAGGAAGCTTGTCTTGCCTTAACAATGAAACTTCAACGAAGCTCGTCATCATGATCTTTGAAGTCAAACAACTTGTGTTCCTGAGTCATCCAGTTAAAAGGGACGACAATCAAAAGAAATAACGAAGCACTGTTCTGGAAAGAACAGCGAAATTTCCAGTTCGTTGCTCTTACACCTCACCATTCTTATTCCAAATCCTTGTCGGCACCACAAAAAATTGCACCACACAAATGAAGCACGGGGAACGGGGCGTTTTTTTTTTTTTTTCTTATAGATACTGTAAAGAAAGCTACAGTCGGTCACAGGCTGGTAACGCAGTTCATCCTCCTCCTCCAGTTTGAACATGCAGTATTTTATGAGGTTCGGTGCAAGCGCAGTCAAAGTTCAACAGAAGCCAACGAGTGCGTGCTGGAGGGGGATTGTCTACGGCATATTTAACTTGTCACCAACCAGAGTTGCAATATTCGCCTCCTTAGTCCTAACGTCTGACAGAATACTAAAACAGCAGTGTTTTGGCCCTGAGAAGGACCCGTTCACACAGCGTTGACCAGGTTTCAAATGATGGCGGCTCCGGGATAAGACTCTGTGTTACCATGGCAACCAAGCGCCGTGTCAGTTGGTGTTTTTGCTAGTCATACAGTTGTATCTTGATGCAATTCAACGTAGTTGAATGTAATCAAACGTTACTGTTCGAACGGCTTTTGACAAAGTACTAAACATCCTCACCGAGTTTGCCAGTCATAACTTGCAATGTTCATTACGTTATTCTGTGCACGCCCGTGCTCAAAATCAGGTGTGGCAGCAGGCGTGCCAACAGATCTTCTACTCCCTGGGAGCGGCAATGGGTACCATCATTTGCCTTGGAAGCTTCAACGACTTTCGCAACGATCTCAGAATGTGAGAATATTTGATATATCTACTGTTTTCGTCAACATAGTTTTGAAGGGCAACACCGAGCATGGCTCCTATATCACAAAAAGTTTCATTTTTATATAGTATTTTTCCTTAAGAAAGACCAAGATCGAGAGGATAGTAAGAAAAAAAAAATAAGAATGGTGCCTCTAATGCTGTGCTCATGCACAGCATCACTGTGTAGGTTTGTCACCGCATTTGGTGGCCTTTCCTGATAGAAAGCGATATATAGTTTTTCAATCCTCCTGCTGGTTAAATAAACAGAAGCTGACGCAAAATGCAGCCTGGCGGCATCTGGCACTGACCGAAGAAGGGTTGTGGGGCGCTCGGCCCGCCACACGGCGGCCAAACCGGCGACTAGCGGGGGGGCGGCACCCGGCGCCGACAGGGTAGAAAAGGGATGGCCCGTGTGGCCGAGGGCAGTTGTTGTCCCGAGTCTGGACCAGAGTCATGGTAATAAACCCTGTTTGACCCCGAGGAACGAGTCGTCTGGTTGATCACCTGCGGCGGACGGTGGAAGGCGAACGCCACATCTGGCGCCCAACGTGGACTCTGTCGTCCGTCGTCGGTGATCTCGACCAGACGGTTCGTCCTCCCTTTCTTCTACTTTGCGTTTCTTAATCTCTTTTCGGTCGTTGATTCGTCGCGGTTCGCGTTTTTCATTTTTTCTATATCGCATCGTGTTTTTCTTGTTCATTGTGACTTTTTGCGCGCTCGCCTATCACCGCGGTCTGCACGTCGCTGACGGTGCGGTTTTCTTGGCGTAGTTTGTTGGCGCGTTTTTTTTTTCTTCCCTCGTGTTCGCGTGTGCTGTTTTTTTCCCTTGTCGCGCGTTTTTCTTTTTTCCATGCCTCCCAAGAAACAGTCCCAGCCCCCGTCCGACCACGGCGACTCCAGCGAAGAAGACGCGGAGCCCGGTCCGTCGTCGGCTGAGGTCCTGGCGCTCATGGCCCGAATGTCCGCCACCCTCCAGTTGGTGACGGAGCGCCTCGCAACCGGCACGGGAGGAGCCGGCGGCCATGTGCAGCAGCGTGGGCCCGAGCTTCACCCTCGGCTCACGGTCCCCGTGTACACGGGGTTCGACGACAGGAAGTCCGTCGCCGACTTCCTGGAAGAGCTGGACGTCTACGCCCGAGCGTCCGGCGCCTCGGAGAGCTACGTGCTCGAGCGCATCCTGCCCCTCGCCTTACAAGCGAGCGCGAGACGATGGTGGGTGTTGCAAACTCCCTTTCCGTCCCTAGAGGCGTTCCGCCGTAGCTTCCGAGAAGAGTTCCTGCCACCGGGGTACGACTCCCGAGTCCAGCGGGAGCTCGAACGACGTACCCAGCATCCAGAGGAAGGCCTCGTCGAATACATCCGGGCCATGCAGGAGCTGTTCAACCGAGCGGCGAAAGCTGCTCCCGAGTTGGAGAGGGTTGCACGCATCATCCGACAGAGCCACCCCCGTTACCACGTCTATCTTCAGGGGCGGCGGTTCGAGAGCGTGGAAGACCTCGTTCGTGCGGCGCGCGGCGTGCAAGACATGATCCTGGCCAGCGTGGACTACCGGCCGCCGCCCCCCGCCACAGAAGCCCTCGAACCATCGTGCGCGTGGTCGCCACCTGCACGCACCGCCCTGGAACGCACCCCTCCGACTCACCGCCCACCCGAAAGGGTCGGCGCCTACGCCTACTTGCCCCGCGCCCTGGACACCCTTGAGTGCACTCGGGATGGCGGCGGGAGGCTCGGTGCTGCATCACCGGCTGGGGTCAGCGTGAGCTTAAATTCCCGACCGAGGGAAGCCCCAGGCGCCTGGGATTGGTCCCCCCAGGGCCCGCACTTGGGTGGAAGCCCGCCGCGGGTGCCGCGAAACCCCGAGAGGGACCGGCTGCAGTTCCCGGAGAGCGAAAGCTGGCTGCATGACCCTCGGCGAGATCTTCAGATGGCCGAAAGGCCCCAGCGCCAGCCGAGAGGCGGCTGGCAACGTGGGAATGACCCGGCGGAGCCGAGAGGCAGCCGGCGACGTGGGAGTGAACGGGGCAACGTGGGAACCCAGCGGCAGAATGACTCCTGCTACAACTGCGGACAGCGTGGCCACTTCCGCAGCCAGTGCCCACAACGGCGGCCCCGTGAGCAGCGAGAACTGCCTGACCAGGGAAACCGAGGCGGCCCGCGGCGCTGAACCCGGAGACCTCGCCGCCCAAGGCCGCCACCAGCCCCGGGAAATGTAAGTCGCCGGCAATACTTCCTTCTGTATGTCGAGTACGACCTACGAACCACAGCATCGAGCCTAGGATAACAATTTCTCTGCTCGGAGTTCTTTTCGCCGCCCTGTTCGATACCGGCGCGGGAGTTTCGCTTATCGGCGACGTCGTTTTTGAACTCTGCAAATCAAGAAATGTTAAGCTCCGTTGTTCGAGCACGCTTTTGCAGTTAGCGTCAGGCGCGCAAACAAAAGCAGCAGGCGCAGTAAGGCTGAGGATTTCTTTCGACGGAAAAACGCGGCGTCAGCGTTTCCTTTATCTGCCAGGATTGGCCGTACCTGTTATCTTGGGCCGAGATTTCATTGCAGACGAAAAAATTTCGCTCGACTTTGCTGCCGGCGGGTATCGGCTGGACAACCAGCCACACGTGACCCCCTTCACCAGACGTGAAGACTGCGTCACCGGCGCAACCCTTCCGACCCACTACACAGCGCGGCCAGCTGCAGTTCTTCCTGATGGCATCCGAGACGCCCTCAACGCGTGCCCAGCAACCAGCTCGCAAAAGCAGCAGCTCGAGAGCATCCTGCAGCCGTTCGCAACGATGTTCATGGAAACCCCGGGCAAGACCGACGTGTTGCTACACCGCATCGAGACTGGTGACGCCCGACCACTGCGGTGCAACCCTAGGCCCCTCAGCGTCCACAAGCGAGCCCTACTAGACGCAGCACTACAGGAGATGCTGGATACCGGAGCAGTGCAAGAGTCCCAGAGTAAAAGGGCCTCCCCCGTCGTCTTGGCTCCGAAGAAGGACGGCTCGGTACGACTTTGCGTGGATTATCGCCGCCTCAACGCAGTGACGGTGAGAGATTCGTACCCCTTTCCTTCCATTGACTCGGTTATGTACGCGATTGGCAACGCGAAAGTGTTCACCACTTTGGACTGCAGTCGAGGGTTTTTGCAAATTGAGATTGATCCAGAGGACGTGCCAAAGACTGCGTTCACTTGCCACAGAGGATTGTTTGAATTTACCCGCCTCCCCTTTGGCCTTTCCAATTCACCCGCTAGCTTCCAGCGCTTAATGGATATCGTTCTCGGCGACACAAAATATAAATTCGCCATGGCATACATGGATGACATCGTTATTTTTTCCCAGACTTTCGAGGAACACCTGAAGCATCTTGGGATCGTCCTCGAGCGCCTGCGCAACGCCGGCCTGACGATTCACCCTGACAAGGCGCAGCTCGCTTCACCACAAATTAACCTCCTTGGCTTTGTAGTGGACAATGGAGTTCTTCACCCCAACGAGGACAAGCTGCGTGCAATAACAGAGTATCCGCAGCCACACGACGTCAAGAGTTTGCAGCGGTTTCTTGGATTGATTGGGTTTTATCGCCAGTTCATCCCTCGCTGCGCCGAAATCGCTAACCCCCTGACCTTGCTCTTGCGCAAAGGCGAGAAATGGCGGTGGGGGGAGGATCAGCGCGTCGCTTTCCTTCAGCTCTCGAAAGCAATTACCGACGTCGCCTCTTTAAAGTTGCCGGATCTCAACCGACAATTTGTCGTCCAAACAGATGCCAGCAACTTCGGCCTGGGCGCAGTCCTCCTTCAGGAACACGACAACGTTCTTCGCCCAGTCACCTTCGCTAGCCGCACGCTGACAGCGGCCGAGCGAAACTATACTCCGTGACGGAAAAGGAGTGTCTCGCCATCATCTTCGCCCTCAAGAAGTTTAACATGTATCTCGATGGCGCTTCCTTTCAGATACAGACGGATCACCAAGCGCTCTCCTGGCTGAAGAATTTGCAGAATCCAGCCGGACGTCTTCCACGATGGGCTCTGACACTGCAAGCGTACGACTACACTATCGCCTACAGGAAAGGAGCAACTAATATTGTGGCAGACGCACTGTCACGGGCTCCTTTGCAGGTCCCTCCCACTGAGACGGAACCGAAGTTGGTGGGATTAACCGACATCGTGGCCCGCACTTCGGAGTCACGGTGGGGGACGTTGGTGAGCAGAGCAGACCTCCGCAAGGCCCAGCAGGAAGATGGACTTTGTCGACGCGTGTGCGAGAGGCTTGCGGCACGAAGAGCAAGCGGCACCGGAAGCGACGACGAGTTCGACTCGTACCTGCTGAGCGAGGACGGACTCCTTCTCCGCTACATCCCCCAGGCAGACGACGACAGCGATGGATCGCCTTTCCGGATTGTGATACCTCGGAAGCTGCGCAAATCATTCATCAGGTACTTCCATGATTCAGCATTAGCGGGTCACAGCAGCGGCAGTAAGACTTACGATAAGTTATGTCGTGTTGCGACTTGGCCAGGAATCAGGCAGGATGTACTGAAGTATGCTCGCAGTTGTCCAGTGTGTCAGAAGGCGAAACCTCGCGGAGGCCAACCACCAGGATTAATGCAGCCAGTCGTTAGCCAGTCGCCTTGGCAGATTGTCGCATGTGATGTCATGGGACCGTTTCCACGTAGTCCTCGCGGAAATCGGTACCTACTTGTTGTGACTGACCACTTCACCAAGTGGGTCGAACTGTTCCCCTTACGGAAGCTTCTTTCGCAGCGGATCTGGGACTGCCTTCTGTCCGTTTTCACGAGATTCGGCTTTCCTGCAGAGCTCATCACGGACGATGCTTCGTACTTTCGAAGCAAGATTTTCATCGACACCTGCGCTGCGCTTGGAATACGGCACAAGCTGACTTCGCCGTATCATCCGCAAGCCAACATCACGGAGAGGATCAACCGCAACCTCAAAATGATGTTGATTTCCCACACAGCCCGTCACAAAGACTGGGATGTCAAACTCGACGAGATGGCATTTGCAACGCGCACCACGGTCAACCGATCCACTGGTTTCACGCCTGCCCGTCTCAACTTTGGTAAGGAGCTAACCTTCCCAATGGAAAATTCATTTCTATACACAGATGTTGCGCAGAATGGACGCCCATACGCGCAGTTCGCCCAGGACGTCCATCACCGACTCTCGTCGGCCGTTCGTGAAGCACGAGAGAACCTCGACGTCGCTCGTCTTCAACAGGCCGCCCAGTACGACAAGGGCCGCCGCAGTGTCCACTTTCAGGTTGGAGACCTGGTACTTCGTCGGACACATCCCCTCAGCGATGCGTCGAAAGGCTTCGCAGCATCCCTCGCCAACCGTTGGGATGGACCCTTTCGCATAACGGAAACAATTTCCCCGCTGAGCTACCGCCTAGCACGACTGCATGGTACACAGCAGTACGGCCCAATTCACGTGTCTGAGCTCAAGCGTTACTGCGAGCCAGCAGTTTTTCCGCAGGTCCCGGACATCCCAGCTCCCAGCCAGCCCTTGGACAACGGAACTACGCCCAGGCGGTACAACCTACGCCCTCGGTGACTCATCACCTGTTCTATTCATATCCTTTTTTTTGGCTGGCTGCGTCTCTTCGCGGAGAGGGGGGGAGAGGATCCATCTCCTTCCCGCGGGTCTGCCCTTTGTTTTCACAAAGGGATTGTTCTGTTCGCGAGTGTCTCCGAGCATGTTTGACGTATCACAACCAGACCCGTTAATTCGTCCTTTTTCTTCGTGTGCCCGTTCTCTATTTCCTCCGCAGGATCGTCACTGCCACCAAGAGCGTTCCCGCCACGCCTATCATTTCAGGCGATTGGCGGCACGCTTCCCGCCGCGCCGTGAGCGTGCCTCCGTCGCGACTTGGTCTGTGCTGGTAGAGGACCGCCCGGTGGGCTGGGCCTCAGCGCTACGCTGGAGGGAGCAGCCCCGGCCCGAGCGTGGCGCGCCCCCGGAGTCCGTCCCCGAGCCTTTCCGGGGCAACACGCTGGAGGACCGGCACCCGCACGAGCCCGCGGCCGTATACAACGAGGCGGAGCGCCGCCTGCTGTGCCCCGTCTGCGGAGTGCCGGAGCTCCACCGCCCCACCCACCTGGCGGGCGCCTTGCACCAGGCCCGCGTCGCGGCGGACTGGGCTCGCCGAGCCGCGCCACCTCCTGCTGCACCTCCGGCAGCCCCCCGCCCGTTGGAGGTCGCGGAAGCCATCCGGATCCTCCGCCAAGTCCGCCCGGATCTGCTCCGCGACCCGGCCCACGAGGAGGCCATCTTAGACCTCGACCTCTAAAAGGGGGGGGAGGTGTGGGGCGCTCGGCCCGCCACACGGCGGCCAAACCGGCGACTAGCGGGGGGGCGGCACCCGGCGCCGACAGGGTAGAAAAGGGATGGCCCGTGTGGCCGAGGGCAGTTGTTGTCCCGAGTCTGGACCAGAGTCATGGTAATAAACCCTGTTTGACCCCGAGGAACGAGTCGTCTGGTTGATCACCTGCGGATGAGTCGGGAGGCCTCCTCCATCTTGGCGCGCAGTTCGGGGTTGCCCACGATGCCGGCGGCCGTGCGCACATCTTTCAGCAGCTCGTCCAGCCGCTGGATGCAGCGCACGATGATGCCCTCCTGCGTCTTGGTCAGCTCCATGATGTGCGCAAAGTGCATTCCCTTAGCCCAGTGGTAGACCACGTTGCACAGGCCGAAGCTGAACTGTTCCACGAACTGGTCCGGTGGTTCGTCAAAGCCACACTCCCGCTGCACCCTTCCAATTCGTTGTGCCACCTCTCCAAACTTGTGCACCGCGGCCGCCATGGACTTTGGGATGACCAGCTCATCCTCGGTCCTCTGCTCGAAGACAAAGGAGGAGAAGAGGGCGGCCACCTCGGGAGCCCCCAGGGTGAGCAGGGACTCTTGGAGCAGTAGCTCTGTCAGCATCACCTCAAAGCTGCTTAGGGCACGGGCCACCCTGCCCTTCAGGGTCAGAGCCCCTTCAGGCTCCAGGTAGCCCAGCTTCTCCAAGGCCAGTACGTGGTTCTGGTAGTCCGGCATCGAGGCCAAGCTCTCTTCGGACAGCAGGTGGCGCATGCGGGCCAGCTCTTCCGTCAGACGCTGCCGACGCCTCCCCTGATCAAAGTGTGTTTCGAAGAGTGGGCAGCCCAGACAGTCACTGGAAAGCAGCTTTTCCTCCAGCATCTGACAGCGCTGCACCAAATCGACAGAGTCCATGGCTTGGATGCGCATGTCCTTGGTGACGTTGATGGCGGGCAGACCCTTGGGGTGTGCCTCCACCACCTCCAGTAACTCCTGCCCAAGCAGCGTCTTGCCCTGTGGGTGCGCCAGCCTCTTGGGGTCCAACTTGATGGTGTGCGAAACAATGCACAGCACATCTGCAAAGGGCACGGTCAGCTGCTGGACTGTAAACGGATGTAAAAGAATGTAAACGGGCGCATTTATGAATTATGGCACTCACTTAATGCTCCCATAAGAACTACGCGGCGCCCACAAACACAAAAATCTTCGGTTAGTTTTAGCTATTCTTCGGTGCCAATATAACCACGATATCTCTTTTTAACGGTATAAATTAATTTCCTATATTATCTAGATATGTTGAGTTTTGATTAATTCAGCTTTCTAATGTGCATCTATTTGATATTCATGGCATTTGTCTTCATAGTTTCTGAATAATAAAGAGCTCTTATAAGACGTTATACAATTTTGGGGCTTGGAAATGGAGTGCAGCCTTGGGAATCATTCTGCTCTGGTTTTGTTTTTTCTAGAGACATCATGTACATCACAGCAGCGGACTTCTTCACCAGCCTTATCGGCGGGCTCGTCGTCTTCTCTGTTCTTGGAAACATGGCTCACAATCTGGATCTCGACATATCAGATGTCGCCGAAGGAGGTTAGAACAGAAGTCGGTCTTAACTATACGTCACATTGTCGGCCACTGGCCGACGCAAGTGTTCTGTTTGTAGCTTCGCTGGAGAGCATGGGCAGACCAATCAGTGATAAGTTGCGAGCAGCATTTTCTCGCAAGAGTTATGAACAGCTTTGTACACCTAACACTTTTGACACCCTTAGGCTTACAGAAAGGGTGTCCAAGAGATTAGCATTCGTGGCTTAACTATTACAGCCGCATTGTTTCAAGTAAAACACCCTGTTTAATCGTAAAATAGCTTACTCTTGCATGGATCACGTACATTAAAGGGACACTGACACCCCCCCCCCCCCCCGAATTTATTTTTATTTATTGAAAAACGATTTAATATGATGTCAGAAAGGTATCCAATCAATAATTTTTTTACAGAGTCACGCATATTTTTAATAAAACCAAAAAAAAAAAGCAACTGCCCGAAACCGAAACAAGAGCAAGAAGTAATGGGGCGACATGTCCACTAGAGAGGAGGGAGAAATATAGAGGAGGAGAGAGTTGGACGGAAGTCACGTGGCTACACCAGACAGCGTTTTTTTTTTTCCTCCGCTTTTTTATTTGTGTGAAGCAGACGACATTTTTAGCATTGTAATGGTCAAGCACACGAGGGAGAACTCCTCTTTCGCAGTAACGCAGCCAGTCGACTGTAGATCAAGAAGTTTGCTGCCAGTTCTCTGCTGCTAAGGCACTCCACAGGCTCGAAGTGGGGCAGCATCCCGCATTGTTCAGATTTGCGCGTAGTGAATAAACTGTACGCATGCCCATTCTACACAAAGTACGCACTTTGTGTTTGACTTTTACGCGTGTTTCAAGGTCTTACCAATTCGTATTCGCAAGAAGCGCGATGTCTTAAGGCAGGAGGAGGGCGACGACTCGGCGGCGTCTTTGTGTGGATCAGCATTGTGGTACGGCGTGTCTTACAGAATAAATCCTCAGTGTTTTCATCGGTTAAGCATTCCGATCTTGAAGCCAGACAGACTCGAGGGTACCGTGAAGGACAGTTCTGAAGTAGAGGTTCCACACCCGTCTTCGCCGGTATCGCCTAGTCCGCTTCGTACAGCAATCCAGCCTGCGACTCCCGAGCTGCTCTCGCAATTCCGCGATACGAACAACGCCATGTTGATAATTACGCAGCGCATGTGCTTTCGGCACTTTGCAACATATTTTTTTTTTCAATCAACATAATGGCAGCTTTTTTGAAGCCACAAAAATGGGTTTCATATTTTTTACTATATTATCGAATATGTGCTTTCGATGACCCACGACTTTGGTTATATTTGGTGATTGTTTGGTTTCCAAGTCGCACATAGCCATGAAGAGGAGAGTCAGCGCGACTAAAACCGGTCAGTTTTCGATGGGCCGGTTTCGGGAGGAAAAAAAAAAAGAATATTGAGCCGCAAATTGTGCTTTTGGGCAGCTGGATTCTCGCATGTCATGTACGAATATAAAACCTTGGCGAGCATAAACACCCTGTTAATGTCCCTTTAAGGTGGAACCCCGCCCTTGGTTAGTGTGATCCTGAACCAACAGATGGCGGAAGGATCGTCTTCCAAACCTGTACATCAATACGAGAAGTCGTTTGTGTTTGCGTTTGGATAAAGTGTGCTATTTTTTTCTATAGGCGCTTTCTCTTTCCTGTCGTTCTCAACCACGTGGGTTTCTTATCTGTTATGTGGGACGAAAACATAATAAAATATTTCAACCTGGAATATGAAAGAAAATATAAGTGAGGCAAAACAAGAATGTGTGACAATCACCCATTTTTCGTAAACACCTTCCAGCGGTGTAGAGAGATCAAAACAATGCTTTACCGCTTACGAAAACTGACGACTTTCAAGATGGCTGCACCCTTGTCGAAAAGGCGAATACCTTGAAGTTGGCATCCCTGGTCTTGCTATGGTGCCTGGATGGCGTCTCTGACTGGTGTGTTTAGCGTCCTATCCCGCCCATACATCAAAAAAGGTCCCCAAGTGCCAACAAATGACGACAGTGTAGCCGGAGTGTCATGCTGTTGCCTGTTGCGATCCAGGCGATTGGGCGTAGAAATGCTGGCGAAAGCACGAGCGAACGTGAGTGTCGCTGTCGTCATGGCGTCCCAGGCCTACCTTCCGTTGGCTGTCACAGTAGAGAGCGACCTACAGCAGAACAGGCGGCTGCCACATACACCACAAATGTTGGGACGCCGCCAGGATCGCGACCGCCGACAGCATGACACTTGTTTATGACGTCATCAAGCGGAAATCGAGGGACCACTTTTTTGGGCGCGGTAAACACACCAGTCAGAGACGCGTTCCAGGCACCATAGTCTTGCGCTTGTTTTTCTCTGCGCGAGCTTTCTGTGGAACGCGCACGGCTGCGCCACTTCTCGTGCTAGGGGGCCAGTTGCCTTCGCCCCGAGCTCACGTCTCCAGTCAATATGGTCAGAACAAAACGCGCAAATCGTCATGAGCTAAAGTATAATGGCCAGACATATGCACAACAATACAACTGACGAGTGTAAAAATATAAAATTGCCTCTGCGCATTTAGTGCACCTGGAATATCGGAGGCCAATGACACATATTTCAATGTGGTCAGATTTATATGACGGACCGGCACTTCTGTCGTTCATGTGCTTGGCTCTTTATGGATTTTCAGGAAAGGCTTGAAAGATTACATTATTGAGAGAAGAGATCCTGGGAAAGTGCTGGAGTAAAAAATAACAATCACAATGCGGACTGACGTCGCCAATTTTTTTTTCTCTAGGTCACGGCCTCGCTTTTGTCACCTATCCCGAGGCGGCTAGCCTGATCGCCTGGCCCAACCTCTGGGCTTTGGCCTTCTTCCTAATGCTGCTGCTGCTAGCGGTGGATAGTCAGGTATTTTTTCGCGAGGACTTTGTTTGGAAATAAATCGTCTTCATACTTGTATGGAGGCAAACTGTACGGGAAACTTTTTCTCGCAGTTCTCTATGTTCGAATCGGTCCTGGTGCCATTCAAGGATGAATTTCCTCTGTTACGGCTGTATCCGTCTTCGATGGCGTTAGGGGCCTCCGCCTTTAGCTTCATTCTTGGATTGAGCATGGCAACAAAGGTATGTGGTACGCCGTCCTGCGTTGTGCAGACAACAGACCTCAACTAACTCTATGGACCATACCAATATTCGCCTTTTGCCCATTGCCGTCTTTTCTACTCTCTTGTGGAACGCCCTCTACCATACGCAGAAGTTCTACTTTGCAAAAATCAGGCGCCAGGCTCGCTGGAAAGAGCCCAGTGACTCGGCAGTGTTTGCCCGTGTACAAAGCGCTAGAAAGGTGCATACTCCGCTCACCCCTAAGCAGAAAGCACGGCAAAAGCTGCGAGCTGGTAGGACCAATCATACGTCGATCTTTGGCAACGTGATCACACACGCACCCACACGCATAGAGCGTGGGCAGGCGATTAAAGAAAAAAACGGTAGATTGGTCCGGTGAACGCTTAGCTCTGGCCAGCCTGTCAGCTTAGGGACGAAGGAATATAGGCCACGTGTACATGCTTGTGACCGAGGTGCATTGACTGGAGAGGGTGCCCAATCATGAGTAGTATATCCCCATCTCTCCTCCACTTCTACCCAATCACAGACGTGTTTAATGGCAGCAGTAGATCGATTCGTTACAATTCGTGGGGGTCATAGCGAGGTCGAGAGAAAAGAAGAGGGGAAGCTTTATATTGCTGCGCGCGGGGCTGAGCTTGGCCGGGCATGGAACGCTTGGTCACGGACTTCAACAAGGTTCGTGTTTATTCTTACTCGAGACGTAACTTTTATTATTTTGTCCTACCTTCTTGTTTTCGAAGGTGCCTGTTCATTGTCACACCGAACGCTCGACACTCGAGCCTTCTGGGCCGAAGTTTTCAGGTGCCTACTCACATTACGTTAGGACCTGTGCGTGACCTTGTCGAGTCAGTTTTCCTCATGCTTGCTGCTACGCCGCCGAATCACCGCCAGTTTTTCTGCTGTCTCGATGCTCGTTCTTTATTTTGTTTGCCACAAGTTTGCCGAGTCACCTTTCAGTTCGAAACGAGATATTCGGTGCTTCTACTTCTGTCATTTGTGACAATATATTGTTCCGATTCATCCATTAGTTTGGACACGCTGACCTTAATTCGGCTCGTACTATAACCATTATTGATTTAATATTTGTGCTTTGAAAAGGCGGCAAAATCGTAATTATTTATTTGTTTGTTAGTGCTTTCGCACACTAGTCAGCAGAAAGAACTCTCTCTTCCCCCTTTCTCCGCATTATATTCCAGCTCAATATTTAAACTACATTCTCTGACGTTATTCGGTTAAAAAAAATTAGTTGCCTAAAAGGCAACTATAATTTTGATTTATTCTCTACCAAAAATACGGATTAAATGGAAGCAGACGCGCGTCTGTATCTAAGTAAAAAATTTTAAATCGTCTTCATTTGGCCCCCACGGTCACGAATATCGAGAATATTGTTCAATTTCGTGCACGGAGGTGCCAAAAACAATTTTCGAATTGCAGAGAAGGACCCTCCTTCCCAGAGCGTGATGCCATATCCAGAGTTATGGATATGACATCTTCAGTGCCTATCAAATGTATGCACGCGCACTCTTGCTATTTTCAAGAAGGTCACAAAAAGACGTCAGGACTGGTGTCAGTGCGGGGGAGTATAGCTGGCAAGCTTGCAATAGACCTTTCGCTAAATTACCCAAGCACCAAAGAGAATGTTGGGAACGTAGGTACACGCGCTGCACGTGCTCGCCTTCCCTATAGAAAGGGGTCAAAGTAAATAACGAAAATAAGGCGTCCCTGGAACGCGCCTGTCGAGTGCCCTTTGTTTTAGATTTTTGTTTTCGAACAGTTAGATCTGAAGACGCCAGCAGTCGCAGCGGGTGGTCCCGGCATTATTTTCGATGTTTGGGTAATACGACAAAAGATCTATTTCTCGCGCTGATGCCCACACGAGCAACACGCGCTTGGCGGCCCAAAGATCCTTTAATGACGTAACGAATGGTAGTAGGGTTTTCGTGTTTTCTTGCGCGGGAAAACGAACTTGATATTCATAATCAAGGGAAAAAAATACTTCAAAATTTAACTTGAACTCGTTTTTTTCAAGAACCTTTTCAGTTTCCCTTTAAGCTAAGCTCTAATATGAATGGAGTGTGCAAACTAAATTGCCACACGAGATCCATTAAAACATGTAAAAACTGCCCGACAGTCACTGACCAGCTTGAGAAATACGGGACGAGCTAACAGTGAAGCAAGTAGAACTAAAGTAACAAAAAACAAGGCCATTGTAACTTATTATTGTCATTTCTAATATATATATATATATATATATACATTTTTGACATTGTAGAAATGTTTTGGCGGGAGATACTCTTGCCAGTGGGTTGTGAGCTATCATGTTCGCGTACAGTGTTGGTTTTATGGCGTACTATAGCATTATTTATAATGCAATTAAATGCAAAGGTGCAAGCGAGCTGGACAATAGTGACGAAAGTAATCCCTGGAGAAGGGGAACAAGAGGGACAAAGGACAAACATAAATCTCCAAACACAGCTAGGTGACTGGTGAGCGACCGAAAAAATCCGCCTGGTCCGGGTATCGAACCCGGGACCTCTCCATTCCAAGTGGAGCGCTCTACCAACTGAGCTAACCAGGGGTTAGACGTCAGTAGAGCAAACGGGTTTTATCAGCTGCCACCAGTCGAACACCAACAAGGGTGAAGCTTGCAATTTAAGGTTATAAGGTTTTAAGGTTGCAATTTAAGGTTAATATAAGGTTATATAAGGTTATAAGGTTATATAAGATTATATAAGGTTATAAGGTTATATAAGGTTATATAAGGTTATAAATATAAGGTTATAAGGTTGCAATTTAAGGTTATAAGGTTTATAAGGTTATAAGGTTATAAGGTTAAGGTTTTTCGGTCGCTCACCAGTCACCTAGCTGTGTTTGGAGATTTATGTTTGTCCTTTGTCCCTCTTGTTCCCCTTCTCCAGGGATTACTTTCGTCACTATTGTCCAGCTCGCTTGCACCTTTGCATTTAATTGCATTATAATTATAACCTTAAATTGCAAGCTTCACCCTTGTTGGTGTTCGACTGGTGGCAGCTGATAAAACCCGTTTGCTCTACTGACGTCTAACCCCTGGTTAGCTCAGTTGGTAGAGCGCTCCACTTGGAATGGAGAGGTCCCGGGTTCGATACCCGGACCAGGCGGATTTTTTCGGTCGCTCACCAGTCACCTAGCTGTGTTTGGAGATTTATGTTTGTCCTTTGTCCCTCTTGTTCCCCTTCTCCAGGCGTACTATAGCATCTCGTATATTTATTCACGAAATGGTGAACGCACGTTGTGTGTGTGTTTTTTTTTTTTTCATCTTATTTTTGCAGGGTGGACTGTACGTACTGAACCTCATTGACACGTACATAGGAGGCATGATCCTTCCTATCATCGCGGCCTTTGAGCTTTTCACGGTGTGCTGGATGTACGGTGAGTTACCCGAACCCGTGAAGAAAATGGGAACGGCAGGGTATATCTTTCGAACGCCCGGTCTCCAGTTCCCGCTCCATGTCCTTCTGCCGTGCGTTGTCTGCGCGCGCACTTTCGAGGTGCGCGAGGCGTCAAGCAATTAAGAAGGGAGTCTTACGCCAACTCGGGCGAAAAGGAGGGTTACAATCTTTTTCTTCCGTACAAAACATTACAGCCAATCTGACATTCTCTTCGCTTTCCGGTAAATAGAACGTCGATACATACTACACTTCTGATAAAAAGGAAAATTTATGGCTGTGGCGATTCAGATGCGATAAGCATTCCTAGATCTTCGGACTGCAGACTCGTGCCTAAATTGTAAACTGCACATTTTGAGTGTTTCACGATATTTGCCACGAACGTTGGTTCTGTAGCAGCTTTGGTGACACGAAGATACGTTATTTCTGCGTGGAGACTCGATCGAATGCCACGGTTTGTCGCAATGATGTTGCGATTTTGAATGTTCCCTGTTGTTCGCTTTCGCACTCACCAAACTGCCCGTAGTGAAACGTGATCCACACTGCTGATGACATTGTCGTGGTGTTAGTCCGGGGTCTCTTTGCTTGTGGGCAGAATCCTGCAGATAAGACATAAGCCTTATCTGCAGGGTTCTGAAGATAAGAAAAGATATTGTAACATTCCTTCACCACGATATTCACAGGTCTTTAAGTCAAATTTGAAGGGTTTTACGTGCCAAACCAACGACGGGCATCTGGCCCGCCCCAGCGGAGGACTGAAGATTAATTTCGACCATTTGGGGATCTTTTGACGTGCAACCGAAAGCTCGGTTGCACGTCGCCTTCTCCGCAATAAGCCTCCATTAGATCGGGGGCACTTCGGCTGGGATTCGAACCCGCCACCTGGGGATCCGTAGGCCGGCGCTTTGCCTCGGAGCCATGGAGGCGGCTTCCCAGTTCTTTGAGGAAGTTACCAAGTGATTCTACCTACATATCACTTAGTAGCCTCGGCAGTGCTGCAGTCCTTGCGAGAAATGTTTAAAAAATCACTTGGTTTAATATAAGCTTCTTTTATTTTCCCTTTAGGAATAAAAAGGCTTTCACTGGATGTCGAGTTTATGCTCGGGTCTCCACCGGGTCTCTTTCTGAAGATCTGCTGGGGCATATTTTGTCCCGTCTCTCTCCTTGTAAGTAGTTCCCTCGCACTTCCCACCTATTTTCTTTGTACGTATTGATTCGTAGCACACCGTATAATGACTCTCCTCATTTGGTGCAGGTGATCGTCATCGTGACATTCTTCACCCAAAAAAGGACTACTCTGGGTACTTACGCCTATCCCTATTGGGCCGACGTCCTTGGCATGGCAACTGTTCTTATCGGACTGCTCCAGATTCCCCTGTTTGCTTTCTTCTACATGCGAAAGAACAACTTCGTACGTAATTCAGATTTCGGAGTAGGGCTTTAGGCTTGTTCACACCGCACCCTTTTCTTACTTTGCGAAACTTACCTATACGCTAACGTCGAGTTACGACTCCAGTCCTCGGCAGAGTTATGGGGGTGCCATGTATGCGTGGAACACTTAGTGGGACCGGTTTATTGCTACTGGTTGCAGCGCTAAGGTACGAAGCGCGGGTGTGCGGGTGACTTGCGATCGTTACTCGACGTTAGCGTACGTAAGCCTCGTAACGTAAGAACACAGTGTCGTCTGAACCATCTTTTAACCGAACGAGTCTCCAATATTTAGTGTGTCCCAAGAAATATTTCCAAGTTTTTCTGTTTTTTCTTTCTACAGCGAGAATGAATTTTGCATAGCCGAATGCTCAGTTTCCACCGAAATGTAGCGCTATTGATCCGGACTAGATACCAAAGTTTCGAAACCATCCGTTAGTTCATCCAATACGTAAAGAAATATGTTACCCAAACCTCACACCTCATTAGAAGGATCGCCACTAAACACCACGGCATCAAGGAACAGGACCGCCTCCGACTCGTTTAGTTTTCTATTCAACCGTATCCTATACCAGCTACCCTAGCTTAACCTTACACCCACCCAACTCGACTCCCTTGATGCGCTCCTCAGGAAAACATATAGACATGCTCTCCTACTCCCCCCTCACGCCCCAACGCACCGCCTGCTCGACTTCAGCATACACAACACAATACGCTAACACCTAGACGCCCACCACATGTCCCAACTCACCCGCCTCACATCCTCGCTCACAGGGCACTACATTCTTAACACTATAAACATACTCCCCCCTACCATTACAATCCCCCACGCCCCATTCCACCGCACATACGTAACCGCATCCGAGTCCACCCAATCCCTCACCACGTGCACCCAACTTTCCATAAAGCCCGGCGACTAGCACGAGCCAACATCCACGCCAAACTATACCCACCATCACCATGCACACTATACACTGATGCCACACCCTACCCTCACAAACCTGCACACTGTGTAACTGTTCTCGGCCAAGATCCACCACCAAAAGTCACGGCAGCCACCATCCTCACAACGAACACAACCACGGCGGAGGAAGCGGCCATTGCCCTTGCGCTCGCCCAGAGCCCCACCCCCCCAATTCGTCCTATCTGATTCTCAGCAGGCCATCCGCAATTTTATTCGCGGCAATATCTCCCCCATGGCCTTCCAAATTCTCACCAACAACCCTACATCCGACACCGTGACCCTGCTGTGGACACCCGCTTACACAGGCGTAGGCGCTAATGAGATGGTGCACGATCGTGCTCGCGAACTCATCGACCGAGCCGCCGTTTCAACTGCGCCTACGCACGATGCCCCTGCAGGCAAGCCTACCTCCCTCCTGCAATACAGGGATATTACTCTACACTACCGCCTCCTCCGCCACCAATACCCACCCCCGCACCCCCACCTCTCCGAAGAGGGAGCACACATGCTGCGTCTCCTACAAACGCACACTTTTCCCACCGAACACAACTAATACACACTCACCCACACCTCTTTACCACCCCCGCCTGTCCTGCCTGCGGGGCACTCGACATTCACGGCATTCTCTTTGCGAATGCCCCGCAGGCCCATAGCCCCCTCTTCCCTCCTCTAACCTCTGGGAGCAGATGTTGCGCGACCCGGAGGAGTCAGCCCAAGTCCTGACCACCTCCCGGGCCCTGGCGGTCGCGGCGGCCCTCTGGGCCTCCACCACCCCCAATACCTGAACCCGGAACAATAATAAAGTTTCCTCCTCCTCCCTCCTCCTCTTCGTCAGCACCCATTTTTAAATCGAAAAGTTCTGAAAATCGCATATAGCCCTTCAATAATATCAGGGCAATCTTTGAAACTTTGACATCTGGTCCGCACCATTGGCGTTAATTTGGGCGGAGGTACTTGGCATTTGGTGATGAGTAGTGTAATTTTAGGTGCAAAAACAATACTACATTGTTTTCATCGGGAACCCACTGTAGATACAGGGCGCCTGGGTAGAGACCGCGTTTTCGTTAAGACTGAGCGAATGGAATCTTTGGAGAGACTGGGGAAAAGGCGAGTACTGATTGAGACGCGAGTCAAGGGCCACTCAACCTGAGCACTAGCTTTGGTAGTGCTTTCCTTTACGCCGTCTTATAGTCACTGACGGGACTAAAATCGCAGTGCGTTTTTGTTCGTATGCCGAACGTCCAGCACGCGCTCAATGCGTTCTTTCGTTCGCTGTGCTTGCACGCTCGAAGTTTACGAGACACCGGAGCCCTGACTTTTTTAACCCCGGACAGTGAGGAAACAGAGGGACAGGATAACACCCATCTCCATTGGACATTCTTGTTGTCTTGTCTTTATGTTTCCCCACTTTCTATGGTTAGAAAATATCAGTACTTAACCAGCTCGCCTGCATCCTAGCATTGATAGCGAAGCTTTATTGCAGGTGTGAAACACGCCTTGGAAGGCAGGACAAGTGAAAAACGTTTTTTGCCTTTTTCTGGCGACAGCTGCAAGATCTTCCAGGGCTATACCTGATAGGTGGCGCCTATGTGTTCTCTCGTAGTAAGAAGCCCGAAAAGCTTCCAAACTGTTCGGTCACGTTCAAACCCAATTATGCGAAAAAGCCTTAGGATTACCTCAGAGAAGGCCATGGGCATGAACTCTTTTCTCGAGGGCGCACCTGGGCTGTATGGGCCAGGGCCTGTACGAACGTTTACGGATTTCGAGTAACTGTTACACGTATAAATGAGGGCTTCGAGCCTTCGCTATTGTTGATCGTAATTTGGGGTGTAACGTTGCACAAGCGGATTCAACGCTGTGAATCGAGCCGGAAATATCGACGCCTGCTCGTTCAAAGCTCCAACTTTCACCAACTGTGCACTGACCCAGTGAGTTGTACCGTGTGAAATTTAAAGGCGTAGATAGTTTCCTGTAGAAAATGAGAGCAACAAACTCGCCAAAGGCAATGTCGAGCGCGTTTGCGAGTGATGATCGAGCTGTGGACGCTATTAACTTGTGGCGTCATCTCCCGATAGTCACAGCGAGCAGACGACTGAGTACGTCTTCTGCTCGCTACCGTTATCGGGAGATGTCGCCCCAAGTTAATAGCGTCGCTAACTCGGTCGTCTGCGAACGCCTCCGGCGTTGACAAGTTTGTTCCTCTATTTATTTACAGAAGGAGAACAACGTCTTGAAATCGGACACGGTAAAACTAACGTGCCCAGGGCACATTCTGACAAAGTGTGAGCTTTCTACTTGTAGGGGACGATTCAACTACATGAGGAACGCAGGGAGTGCCATGTCGGAAGCCTCTTCTAATCGTTCACTAGCCAATGAGCTTGAGACATAAGTCAATTGGAGTGCTGAAGAACGAAGAACGAACAAAAAAAAACGGGAAAGTTGAAAAAAAAACACGCCCTACGTTTCTTGAGTTCTCAGTAACTATAGCCGTCCGATTAATTAAGAACTTTCTAAACACAAACATACGCAGAACGTAGTGAAGTGTCTCGATCCGGCGCAAGACTGGGGACCGAGTGACAAGGCACTTTTCGACCAGTACACGAGCTTCGTGAACAGCCGCACCTCAATACCATCGGCGTCCGGACACCCCCCGCTACCAGCGTCTCAGTTTGCGGGACCCGTACCGGAACTCGACAAAGAGGAAGCGGCGCCATCCAGAGCGCTGGAGAGCGAACCTCCCACGAGGGACACGGCTGGCGTCGACGAAACGTTCACTTCTCCCTCTTCGTCGGCCGTGGGAAAGAAGCGGTCCGGCGGGTCCGGAGGGCCGTCGCGAGCCGCATCTCCGGGCACGGTTCACGGCATGAGAGAAGAAGGCATCGAGACCGCGGCAGCTGCAGCTGACAAAGAGGCCAACATGGCCGCGGAGGCTTGATGCATTCCGATTAAAAAGGGACCGGGTTTCGGGTGCTGATGTCTTTGTTGCGAAGCGTTCGGTATATGTCATCAAACCGCTTTATTTTTGAGAATTCATGATTTTCAGTTTCAAGAATATTTCCCTCGAACGAATATTCGTTCAATGGAAACACTTGATCCTAGCCAAGGTTGTCTAACCAGTAAGAAGGCACATTAAGAAAGCCACGTGAAGACTCTTCGAATGATAAAACACTGCATGCTGAACAAAAAAAAAAAAAAAAAGACATTGTGTATCATGTACGTCTAGAACCGCATAACATGACGACAAAGTGGAATTGCACTACGTTTCACTCTTAAGTCCGCACTCAGCCGATGCTACATGAACCATTAGGAACTTTTAGCAAACCGTTACCGTTTTCCGCATATACCGCACTACCAGAGCCTGGGAAGCGTGCTTTTATACCTCACCTAAACTATACGTTGGCTCCCCGGTTTTCACCCTTTCCGGTATATTATTTAGTATCGTGAAATTCATAATAGTTATTGTGAAATCGGGAAATGAAAATGATGCAAACACCAACATTCAAATATACCCGCACTTTTCAGTGCCGTGACGTCAGTGGCAGGCATGCTTGCCAGTCGAGAGCAAGCAGTCTAAAAAATAGAATATACCAATCATTTGTTCCGTGCTGGAGCGCGGGTACTGGAGTGAGCTTCCAAAGCATTCGACACCATGAAACTGCTTCGAATGAGTTCGGAACAAAATCTACAGTCCAAAGAGTAAACCCCGTCCTTCCACTGACGTCACTTATTTGTTGTTGCCAGTAGAGACTTTCAGTTTGAAAAACGCGGTGAGGACCGAAACAGTAAATTCAACAACTTCACGGAAAAAGAATATTTTGACCTAATATTTGGGATACTATTTTAGAGATGTTTGTTGGTGAGTTTAGCAAAATTTCAAGCACATCAGAGACAATGAAAAAGCCTGTGGAGTACCCCTTTAAACACGCGCCAGAATGAGCCTCCACTGCCGACCTTCTCTTGTCTAACCTAAAGTCACTGGATCCTGGGAAAGTAACGCCAAGCTCCGCGTATGGTCGCCATCTTGGTCCATGAAATGAGCAATTTCTCCTTGACCCCTCCGTTCTTGGTGAGCCTATCTAGATTCGCTGGTGACGGGTAGCTTTATTGAGTCTTTTTTGTATAGCGAGATTTTGCTTACAACACACCGGCGAAACAGGCGTACACGTTCGTACCACCACCAGATGCTGTGTCGGTGCTTGGAGGCACTGAAAAATAAGTTTACTGTCTTGAAATACGCAAGAAGAATAACATAATTTTAAGAGATCCAGGGATATGGGCCTGATTAATAATTTGATTACATACACAGTGCCAAAGACTCTTATATTGAAGAGGAACGCTTCCAGTACGATGATGCTCCATGGTGATCTTGGCGCGACTGGTTTAGAACGACCCCCTGGAAACTCCGAAGATTTAAATGGACCAAGATGGCGATTTCCATGGCAACGCAGACCGATTAGCCAATCGCCTTGCGAGGTTTGGGTCGTCTGTATGTCAGTATCCGTTTGTGTCCGGCTAGCAGATAGGGAAGGCAATGGCGCTACTTTCCCAGGATCCAGTGACTTTAGTCTAACCGAGATGTCGAGCAACTGAAGCTGGCGTTGACGAGCCTCAACAAAGGTCTATGCAATGGTGAAGGGCAGAGTAACACCTAAAGTGGCAACAACCTGTCCTGCAGGGGCAATGATGAAGTGAAGCGAACGGAATAAGAGGAAACAAACAAAAAATACCAGAAAGACACTTAAGATTGCTAACGTGTATGAAGGCGAAAGCATTCGTATACGTAGCGTATTCCTACAAGCTGTGCGCCGCCCTGAGCCCAGCTGAGCGCCCTGTGCATAGGCTGCCCGGGTGGGCTCTGCGGCCTGCCGTCCTCTCCCTCTTTCCGGCGGCCGGGCCGCTGCGCCATACAGAGGGCTTCTCTGCGGGGTGGCGTTCCTTGGAACTATGCCACGCGCCAGCCAATGGGAGTTTATCCATCAATTCGCTGCTACAGACTGCAGGCTTCGCTCCCTGGGACAGGGGAATTTAGGTGCCGTTTGGCGCGGCTTCAAAAGCTGATAACGTCGGTTTGCTCCATGGCACAGTTAAGGCTTTCGCATTAAAACAAAGTCAGTTCTGGCGGTTCTAAAGCGAGAAAAAAAGCGCAGGATCACGGTGCGTTCACTGCGCGTGTTTTGTTTAATTCGTGGTTGCAATTGCGCAAAGATGATGAGCGCTGAGACGATGCGCTTTTGGAGCACATCGTCACAGCTCGATCAGATCGTAGCGTTGGCGGCGGTCGGACTTGGAGTGATACAGAGTATTTGCAACGCCTTATAGGTGGCGGGGTGGTAGTTCCAAGATGGCGGAAGTCATACGTTTGAACCAATCGCCTGACAAAGAGCCCATTGTCGTCATGCTTCGACGTCACGCAGCGCTTTAGTTAACGTTTTTGTCGCTGTCACGGGAGTTCTTTGGTATCGTTCCCGGCGCGATTATGACCATACCTGTTGAATTGATTTGTGCGGAACGCAATTGTCTGCTCGGGCTAGAACTTGGTCAACACTGTTTGAGACGTGCCTGATGCCCATCTCAATCGTCAAATAAAACTTCCAAATTTCCTTCCCCATCTCTTTAAAGGGATATTGAACCAAAATTTTGAGCTCACAAAGCAAGGCTGGCCGGATAGGCGGCACGCTGCAAAGCCCCAAAACATCACTGGTACAACAATATCGTTAACCGATCGTCGTATCTTCGGAAAAGAAGTGCGCGATTGACCACGGCCGACAAGACCGACCTGATAAGTTACGTCACGACTCTCATTCCCTCTCCTCCTCGAGCCGCCTCGGTGGCTCCGAGGCGAGAGCGTCGGCTTATGGTTCCCCATGTAGCGGGTTCGAATCCCGGCCGAGGGGCCCGCAATCTGACGGAGGCTTATTGCGGAGAAGACGCCGTGTAACCGAGCTTTCGGTTGCACGTCAAAAGATCCCCAGGTAGTCCAAATTAATCCTCAGTCTTCCGCTGGGGCGTGCCAGATGCCCGTCGTTGGTTTGGCACGTAAAACCCCCAAATTTGACTTCTCTTCCTCCCTTCGTCCCGTCGAGGTGGTGAGCCGAAGCGAGGAGGAGTGAAGCGAGGCCGCTTCCCCTCATTCTCAAATTTTCCAGGAGGACAATGGCGTCGAAGACCTCGCTTGATCGCGCCCCTCTTTTCCAAAAGTACGGCCATCTGTTTGAGATATGGATATATGAGTGCCGTTTTTGAGTTTGTAGCGTCCCCTTCAAAGCTTCTGCGACCTTCTTTTGCAAAATCTAAATTTCGGTTCAGTATATTTTTAAGCTAAGATCATTGAGACATCGTTTGCATGATTTCTCTTGTGGTAGGAGGCAGCGGGCTCAAAATTTTGGCTTAAATGGTGAAGAAATAAAGCGGGTGGGCGACAAACAAAGATAGACTGAAGTGGCAAGAGCTAATTCTACTTTTTTAGATTTATTTTTAACTATCGGGCAGAACCTAAGAGTTGGGTGATTTTTTTGTTTTTGCCCGTCCAATGTACAGTCTTGCAAGGGTGGAGGAAAGCTGGGCATTTAGTTTGCAATATATATTTCATCCTACTGTGATAGATTAAGTAGAAAAATGCAAGGTCATACAAGCCAATTGTTCTATAAGGTAATTTTTTGGTCATAAAAAAGGCTTCAACACGGTAAGAGTCGTATTCATTTTCCCTTCATTCATAAATTTGTGGACTCTCCTCTGTTAATGTGAAACAGAAACTTGACCTGTCGAGCGGCTTGTACAATGAAACATGAATATGTTACTAGAGCACATTTTGAAGTTGCAGACAAATAAAAAAAACGCATTCCTAATTAATTAGTGTATACAGCATTTCTTAGCATTTGCTGCAAAACCTGAATATTTGGCCTCAGAACCACCATCAATATATTGTCTCTCGAACATAAAAGTTTGCAATTTCATTTGGTAAGAAAATTAAGTTCATAACTAAAGGCCTCAATCGTCGATCGTTACGATCGACGATTGAATCCCGATGCCTGCGACCCGGTGGAGGAAAACTCGTTTCGTGACAACTGACACTGCTTAGCCGTAGGAATCATACACCTGACACGACATAGACTGGGCGATGCCCAGCCTGTGTCATGTGTTATTTGTACGGAGCCCATGTCACAAATAACAGAGTCCATGTCTCAAATAACGAGGAACACGTCCGCGTTCGCCACCGTCACATGCCTTTCGGCCGCCTCGAAACGACAAGGCACGCACAGTGATTGCCATCGATGGAGTTAAGATTGCTGTTCGACTTTAATAAACACGATGAGGTAACACACCCTCACTTGCACGGTCGCTGTCTAATCTCTTCTTGCTTTATTGCACGAGAACACGCCGGGGGAGAACAGTTTAAAAAGTGAACAATCAGTAGCGATAAAATGAACAGGCCTAACCTTGCGTCTGCCTCCGGTTTTTCTGTCGTTCTGTTTCTCGTTATTCCTCTCACGATTACAGATGTCAGCACTTGCGATTTGCCACGCTCCAGTCCCTTCTTTGCATCCCTTATCTACGCGAGGTAAAAGCGTTCGAGCCGTCACAATCCCGCGTAAACATCCTACGTATCCAAACAGATCCGACTTGACGGCCCGGCCGGCGACCTCGCCCACCTCCCCGCTCATGGGCAACGCCGAGTTAAAGGAAATGGCGTAGAGCGCTCTGTCAACATCGTCCGAGATCTGTGGGATTTCACGGAGCGCCTGTGGCACGATTTGGGGCGCTCCACGGGGCGGGAGCTGCCAGGGATCTGCGAGCGGACGATGACCTACTCAAGCCAGACCTGCGAGCGGCGGAATACGCGCGCTCCAAATGGAGCGCTTTTGGAGCGCTCGAGATCTGCGACCGGAATTCACCATAACTCACCATTCCGTCGTCCAAGTCTCATTCTCCTCCGGTGGCGGCTGCAGCTAATCCACTACCTTCATAAGGACTTCAATCTAGGCCCTTTACTGAAAAATATATAGAAGTCGAGACTCTTTCTACTCAAGACCTCCGGGAAGCCTCCCGATAAAATTCCCATGGAGTCTGTCCCTCAAAGACTCCTAACTCTGGACCCATAACTGAAGCGCGTCACACAAAGGCTCTCAAATGAAGACTCTCCAAACCCCCGTTTGCTACCTCCTTATATTGCCTTATATTGTCTCCCGCCCCCTTCGCCCCCTCGGAGAGTCTCAAGCCCATATAAGACCACATCCATCGTAAACCGGAGACACGGAAAAATAAAAAGACGGACAAAAACACAACAAGTTGAGACTTGTTGTTGTTTTGTCCGTTCTTTTTTATTTTTCCGTGTCTCCGGTTTACGATGGAAGTTCTTCACCAGCTCGCCTGTGCTTTTACCCTTTCTTCATAAGACCACAGGCGAGAACCATGGCGCCTATCTGGCGGGAAATCTCGGCTCGGTAATACAACGCGAACGTCAACGGATCTTCGCGTTAGGTAAGAGGGGCATGCTATCCTCGGCGCTGTTTACGTGACGGGGTTCAAAGGGTCCCGGGCTGGCGGGAAATGTCGGCTTTGGCACTGGAGGTCTTCGAGAAGTCAACAGGTGTTCACAACGGCGGGGAATGTGGGCTAGCTTCGGCACCGGGCCCGTGGAGGCCAATTCAAAGGTTCTCCACAAACTACAATATTTTCCTGTTCTCATGAAATTTTTTCGAACAGTATGCTTTATTTATTTTTCATTTACAAATAGTCATTAGGATCAGTCACGTTAGCATTCATGAATATTTCAATCAATTTAGCAACAAGGTAGCTTGAGTCATACGATACGCGATGCCCCGTCCGTCGTAACACCGCTTCTGTGAATCCTTTTGCTTTCGTTATGTATCCTAGCAGAAAATCGTTTCCTTGAATCTTCTTGCGCCATTGGTTTCGTTCGGCGTTCGCATAATCCTCGGTTCCTTTCCATTTCAAACCCTCGTAGAATTTTTGCATGTTCGCAACAGGAAAAGTCACATCGAACTGCCCCGAATAAGCTAGGACTTCGTATCTATCAAGGACTTCTACGAATGTTTGTGACGAGTCAACAAAGTAATCGGGTATGAGGTTTACTGATACGTCGTAGTAATATTGTTGGAAGAAAGCGTCAATTCCAACATGAATGGCTCTTTTGAATTTGTCTGCGTGAAAAAATTGGTTCAAAACTTTAAATATTTCAGGTTCCTCGGACTGAGCAACGCTATCGTAGTCCTTATATCCGGTTAGATCTTGAAATAACGTTGGTAATCCCGAAAATGTGTAGGCGAATATTGTCTTTTCTAGAAGTTTGAATGCTTCTCTTAGTTTGCTTTTCTTTTTGAGCCGTCGAACTTCTGCGAACCTTTGCTGAAACTGCAATTTTCCTCTGCGGTTTAGCATTCCGACTTGGTAGAGGTACTCTGACGAGTCGGCCAGCTGTAGCAAGGGACCCAGTAGTCCAGCCCCTGCGATGACTCCTTGCAACTTCAGGCGATGAAAGCGCTGGTGGAAAGCGCCAGCGGCTGCCACTGCTACCTTGGCTGTTTAAAGAGAGAGCAATAAAACAGAAGTTTTGTGAGATGCTCAGTGACAATTTTAAATGGGCACAAAAGTGGGGGAGGAACTTGTATCCGTAAGTGATATGCGGGAATTAGTTCAAGATTGGTAGTTAAAGGGAAGCTGAAGAGGTTCTTGAAGAAAACAAGATAGAGGTTAATTCCAGAGTATTTTTAACCCGTAAATTTGAATATGATGTTCGTTCCCCCGAGGACGCGAGAAAACACGAAAAAACATCTGACCTGTCGTTACGTCATAAAAGGATCTTTCGGCCTCCAAGCCAGTGTCACTCGTGTGAGCACCACGTTCAAATGCAAGCTTCTTAGGTATATTCCTCCGCACTGACACCAGTCGTGACGTCATTTTATCTTCTTTTTGAAACTAGCAAGAGCGCATATGCATAGCTAGCTTTGATAGGCGTTGAAGATGCGTGAGAGTGGAGATTCCGAAAAACTCCTTATATGACGCAACGCTCTGGGAAAGAGGGGCTTCTGCGGCGCTTCGAAAATGATTTCCTGCAGCCCCCTGCACCAAATTGAAAAATAATCTCAATATTCGTGATCCTGGAGGCCAAATTAAGACGATTTGAGTGTTTTACTCTAATACAGAACCGCTTCAGTTTCCCATTGAAACGACCAAGAGCTTTTTTTTGCTTAAAGCCCCTTTATACGGAAAAGTAGCTACATCCTTTGAAGAATGACGCCTGCTGTCTTGGCCCGATCCAGGCGGCGCTACCGTCAACGCGTCAGCGCGAAGGAGCAAAATATAGCAATAGAGTTGTGTATCAGGGACGAGGAGGGAAAAGGAATGCCTATGCTGTCAGAGCGCAGCGCATGCTATGAGCTCATGTCGCCAATCAAATAACGCCGATTGTGCAACGTCACGGCTTTCATCGTCTTTCTTTGAGCACATCCTTTGAGGCTGGTAGACCGTGACAGTGCGCTTTTAGCCTGTGTGCAGTTATTTGCGTGTCTTTCAGCCTTTGCCTGCGCTCTGACTCAAGTATAGGAAGGCCGTCTGCTATCTTGGGCCGATCCAGGCGGCGCTACAGTCGACACGCGGGTATGAAAAAGCAAAACATAAAGGTTAAAAGGTTAAAAGGCGCGAACAAACAGGACGAAAAAAGAGACACGTACGACACGGACAGGCGCCAACTTCCAACTGATTTATTAAGACACGAATCATCGTCAAACTCGATCCCAATCGCCTAAACACATGCAACTGATAAAAATTTTTATCTCTCATTACACACATCCTTCAAGAAACACAATTTCTTTGGTTAACAGATAAAGAGATGGCATCCTTACGCATCTGTCAGCCGCTTTGTGTATACAGAAAGCCTCGATTAGTTCTCTTTCCATTTTTTCATTCCCTTTCTTGATAAACCCTGTGCGCTCAAACAAAGGTTCGCACCCACATCGTTTGCAGTGCTCCGCAAGATGCCCACCCGAATTATTGCGTACGGCAAGCTTCCGTTCGCGCGCTCTTTCATTAAAACATCGGCCGGTCTGACCGATGTAAACTTGGCCGCAACTGAAAGGAATTTTATACACCACCTTAGTCACGCATTCGGTGTATCTTGTTACATGTTTCTTTGAGCACACTACAGACTTTCGTTTAGTCATCGCGGGGCATATCTTTGAAAGTTTGCACGGGGCTGAGAAAACGACGTTAACCCTGTGTCTAACAGCCATCTTTTTTAAATTTTGGGACACTTTGGGTGCAAATATGGTATCACCTGCACTGGCATCTTGTCTGTCTTTTCACGACTTTTGTCAACACCCTCTCGTTTAATTTTCTGTAAGAGCCTTTCACAGACACTTGTCACTAAGCTTTTCGGGTAACCTGCCCTCGTCAAGCGGGCCGTGACAAGTGTGTGTGAAAGGCTCTTACAGAAAATTAAACGAAAGGGTGTTGACAAAAGTCGTGAAAAGACAGACAAGATGCCAGTGCAGGTGATACCGTATTTGCACCAAAGTGTCCCACAATTTAAAAAAAATGGCTGTTAGACACAGGTTAACGTCGTCTTCTCAGCCCCGTGCAAACTTTCAAAGATATGCCAAGCGATGACTAAACGAAAGTCTGTAGTGTGCTCAAAGAAACATGTAGCAAGATACACCTAATGCGTGACTAAGGTGGTGCATGAAATTCCTTTCAGTTGCGGCCAAGTTTACATCGGTCAGACCGGCCGATGTTTTAATGAAAGAGCGCGCGAACAGAAGCTTGCCGTACGCAATAATTCGGGTGGGCATCTTGCGGAGCACTGCAAACGATATGTGTGCGATCCTTTGTTTGAGCGCACAAGGTTTATCAAGAAAGGGAATGAAAAAATGGAAAGAGAACTAACTAATCGAGGCTTTTTGTGTACGCAAAGCGGCTGACAGATGCGTAAGCATGCCATCTCTTTATCTGTTAACCAAAGAAATTGTGTTTCTTGAAGGACGTGTGTAATGAGAGATAGGAATTTTTATCAGTTGCTTGTGTTTAGGCGATTGGGATCGAGTTTGACGATGATTCGTGTTTTAATAAATCAGTTGGAAGTTGGCGCCTGTCCGTGTCGTGCGTGTCTCTTTTTTCGTCCTGCTTGTTCGCGCCTTTTAACCTTTTAATCGATATGAACCAACTAGCCTTAACCAAAGTTTTATTGCAAAACATAAAGGCCCGTTTACTTTTGCGACCTCGTAGAATTCGGTGCCTTGAAACCTCTTACAATGAGAGGACAAACTGGCGCCATCTATTGGGTAGCAGTGTAAACTTGGCCGGTCCGGCATATTTTCTATTTCTCTCGCGCAATATCCTTTCTTTCTTGGCACGAAAAACTTGTGTCAATGTTATAAACGAGCCTTTCTTATAGGTATTACGCACACTTGACCTCGGAAATCCCGTAAAACCTTCGCTCTTTTGAAATGCAGTTCCACGGTCACCACATAGATGGCGCCAGAGTGCCAGTGTGTTCTCTAATCCTAAGAAATTTTAAGAGGTTTCAACAGGTCTCATCTCTCTCGGTCGTACCCGGTCGCAAGATTGTGAACTTTTCTTTAGGCGTCCGTTTCCGGCTTGAGCGGCGTCGGCGTCGGCGTCGGCGTCGGCGTCAACATGACGCTTTGCATTGCGCAATGAAACAGCACAGACTTCTTTTTTAGGTTTAAACGTATGTTCCGCCTCATAATTCGCTGAGCTGATTTCGTAGATCGCAGAGGTTGGCTCTTTGAGAGTTTTGCAGGTAAGTAGACGAGCAGCCAATTTTTAGAGTGTACGGGAATTAATTGAAGACGACAATTTCAACCGCACGCGAACAGAACAAATAGAAAAATAAATACTACGGTAGGAAAAAGGGCTACGACTTGCTGTGCGGGGAAGCAAACACATGGTTTGGAACCGCAGTCGAGCGTCTTGTCTTATTGTCTTTTTAATACTTACGGCTTGAGCGTTTCCTTTTTACTAAATGATTCATTTTATCAGCTGTTCAATATACTTTCAGAGGTATATGACATTTCTGAAAAATAAATCAGTATTCTGGGAATACAATTTATTGCTTAGGTGCGCACCGAAAAAATCCGTACCTTAAAAATGACGGGTATAAAAGACGGAAGCACAGCGCTCGGAAGTAGTAATCGGGTTCATAGTATATGGTTGTATTGATGTTTGCATGTGTCGGGTATGTGTATGCGCTCGTTGTGTATGTTGAGCTGATGCTTGTGGCACGCGTAACGTATCTACACGTGCGTATAATAAAGGTTCCTGAAGCGTAATGGTGACGTGAGCAAAGAAAATGTTTTTGCAGCACATGGAATTGCGTGGTAACTAGCGCCACCTAGCCTTGCTACCTGCAATTACTCTGATTAACCCTGACATCCGGTGACGAGCCATTTAACCTTCATTTTCGCTTCGCTACATGATATTTTCTGGTTACCGTGCAACGATGAGCCGAGGGCTGCTTCGAATTTGCTATTTTGAGAGCGGCTTTTGGTTTCGTGAATGATCTACCACTCCTCCGCGATGTGAGGTGCTGACGAAGGAATTGTGGCTCGAGAAATAGCAAAGCAAGGCGTGAAGCGCGTGAAGTAATTGGGTATCGGTTGTCTCTGTTTAACATCGCACTGCCGACGACAAGAAGACTGGGTGATCCCTTTCGAAACTAAAGTTGTTTTCGCCTGCGGGAGAAGCTGGCTTCGGAAATAAATACATTTCGCGGAAATCTCGTATTACGCCTTTAGTTGCTGCGCCTCTCGCCCCGTACAATAGACGTATAGCGTCCTCGCGACGCCATATTGAGCTGGATTCGCCCGATTCGGGGCCGCCATAATGAGATGCAGACGACGGAGGAACTTTGCTCCCCAGCTTTCAGGGACGAAAGCTTCTCCCTTTCTGAAGGAATACATCTGTCAAGAGCGTCCCTCCCTTTTGGGAGGACTATATAGACCCAGCTACCTAATAAATATTTTTCTCGGTTAATCTCTTTGTGGTTGTTTGACTCACCTCCGTAGGCTTCACCGCCCAGGTAGAACTTTCGGTCCCTATACCACGGAAACAGTAGCAGAAACTGTTCAAGAAAGAGGAAGATTCCTTGAACGATGTCTTCCATGGACTTGGCGTAGGCTTTCGGAGAAGTAGCGGTGCTGAACCCGCATCCGGCACTTTGGTCGATGTATATTATATTTGAAAAATCGGCCAGTGACGGCTGTCGGTGAAATAGAACCCATCTTCCTTCTTCCCCCAATCTGTATCCAACGGGGCCATTTCCGCCGAACTGGGAGAAGAGACTAGACCGTCCGGGTTTTTCCGGAAACCAAAGCAGGAGGGGTTTTTGCATTGAGAGATTCTGAAACACATGGAATAAAATATGCTCTAATTCAAACTTTTTGACTAAGGAGCCAGATTAACGATTTGTCGTAGTGTCAATGATATTTGTATTCAATATTTGTGCATTTTAGCTTACTCAAAGGGAAGGCTGATGGCAAGCCTCACGGCCAGCCTCAGCCAAGCTCTCAAAATTCTGAAGATTCTGAAATTGGAAGATTCTGAAAAATTCAAAGATTCTGAAACATATGGAATAAAATATGCTCTGATTCAAATTTTTGACTAAGGAGCCGGATTAACGATCTGTCGTAGTCTCAAAGATATTTGTATTCAAAATCTACACATTTTAGCTTACTCAAAGGGAAGGCTGATGGCAAGACTCACGGCCAGCCTCAGCCAAGGTCTCGAAATTTCTGCCAGAGTCAAAATTTCAATATGTTTATATGACAAAAAAAAAAAAAAGACATTAGCTGCAAAAAACTTTTTGTTTTGTTCATAGCTTGCCGTTTTATGTTGCATTAATGATTTCCGAGGACAGCTATGCTCAGTAGGTTTCTGACTTGTATAAGAGTGGCATCGGTTGTCGTGTTCGGTAAAGTTGAAGCAGTTCGGTGGAGATGAAGCAGTTCGGTGGAGATGAAGCGAAGGGTATAGCTATGCGGAACACAGGGATCATGGGTTCGATCTTCCTTACAGTTTCAATCTGGACTAGAGTCATACCGGTGTGTGGTCGTGCATCACCACAATATTATGCAAATTAAAGACACCGGGCTAGTAGTGCTACTGCACTGGCTACATGTCTCATCTACAGCAGAAGCACCAACCGCCCACTCGGACTGACTAAACACAAGCACAACGAAACTATAACTATGCGGAGCGAAATTTCGCCTGCTTCTTGCAGAAAGGTTGCTGTAATGTCAGAACGCCGAGTTCTTATTGGCTGATTGGAAAAAAGTGGGCAGACTTCAAAGCATCTAGCCATTGAAGTCTATATATCCTTCAAATTGAAGCCAATGAGTATTCTGCGCCGTTCTGACTTCGCCGACACCCCAGCTCAAGAAGCAGACGACCTGCTTTCCGCATGGCCCTTAAATATAGACTGAAGTTTTCACGTCATTCTAATGGATGAAACGCAAATACGCTTTTCTCAAACGGTGCTTTCGAGGGAATAGTTTGAAGTAAAAAGATTGATTGAGAAAGTGTATGGACATTACCCTTGATTCGACGTGGAGAAAAAATAAATTGGCTTTTGATTCCCCAATTTGTACTGTGATGAATCCAGAGTATGCTCTGTAGTGTCCATATTCTTGAAATAAATGGACTCTGCTTCTTTCCCTGCCCAGTTTAACGTGTCCCTTCTCGATGTACTTTGACAAAAGCAATGGTCCAAAGTCACTGTAGTATATAAAACATAATATTACATGCTTTTACTTTTCCTTTAGAACTCAGGGCGGGACTTTTAACGATATGGTTATTTTCGGTTGCTCAGGCTAGATCCAAAGCGGTTAACATTACAGACCTGCTATCTGTGTAACTTTTGGGAGATTCAAGGCTATGTGCTTCACACCAGCTTACAATTGAAAGTGCGCTTTTCTTCATTCTTTCAGTTAATGTTGAACTAGATTTCCAAATAACTCTCTATGTTTATGATGACTGGATGCCCGACTTCCGCAGTTAAAAAAGTAACCTGAAGGTTAGGGTGCATTGTGCAGTTAATCGCTACAACTTAAGGAGGGAGGTAGTCGAAGGACAAGGCTGTAAGGATGTTTATCATAGACATAGACATAGAAATGCTGTCCAGATGTGAGCACGACGTTTTGCCATGCTCAACCCTTACAACGCAGACTGTCTTTTAGTTCTAAACATGTTATCAGTATCAGTCTAATCATTAGCCGAGATCCCTCTGTTGACTGCAGCGACTGATCCCCTCAAGTGCTTTGCGGGAAAGTAAACCCTTCAGATTTCCTACACTGTATATACCTATATATATACATATTAACCTATAACCTATTGGTAATAATTGAAGCAGATATTACTCTACTATAGAGTAGTAATTTATTCGTGCTCTTACTCGAACTCGGGAGCAGATGGTGGTCTGAAGGAAGGCTCTTCATCTTCCATAAAATAAGCTGTCCCACCAAGCCCAAGAAAAAAGGGGATCATTGCCAAGTTATTAAGCATGGTCGATGCCATCATAAATCGTAATCTAAATTAAATCCTGCAAGAATAAACAACAAAAAATAATGTAAGCATATGAACTATCCGAATGCTCTTACATAATGCAGCACATAAATAATCCAAAACGTATCCTTGATGCGGATTGTTATTAGCCCCGCGAACATGGCGTGGCGCCACCTGACGGGCCTATCGTCGTGACGTAGGTCGCGGGATCACGTGACCGTTTGCTGCACTCTGCGTCAAGGGTAGAGTGTCTCGGTCATCTCTTTTTTTAAGACTGCTGGTATTTAAGGCTTCCTTCAGCCCAATTTTACATTTCACCACTCGACCACGTTAATTTCCTAAATCGGCCACCGTACCAATGTCTCCAGGGGGTCGGTGAGCTGTTTGCAGGCGAGCAGGAAACCGGTCGCTGCAACCAACGTGTTGTCGTTTTTGGCAGCTGTCTCGTGCACCGGAATGAATGCTGACGAAGTGCGACCTACCGTTGAAGGTAAGGGATTTTTTTAAACTTATATTCGACCGAGCATTCCGTTACAACTGTGTATCCCCTTTCAATCGTGCTACCTGAAAGCAGCATCAATGCGTTCGTAAACAAGGCCTACGAGACATTCCGGCTGTTGCTCGAGGGAGAAAAATTTCTTGAAGTTGGACACGTGTTCTCCTGCAACATGATGAAGCTGGATAAGGATTGCTACACGTTCCTTGGATTGGTTCTCCAAACGTCGGCACTCACTCCAGACCTGCACGAGCTGTAGATAACACTAAATGGAAGAATGATGTGATACACGAATGCGTGGCATCACTCTCTGTGAAAACTTTTTGTGTCTGTCGCTTAAGGGGTATTCACACGAGGGAGAAATCTCGGGGATTTCTCGCCGGCACGCGCATCCCACAACGAAAACGTCAGGCTTTGCGATGTGCAAAAGCCTCGCGTTTTCATCTCGTGATGCGCGCGTGCCGGGGAGAAATCCCCGGAATTTCTCCCTCGTGTGAATACCCCTTCGAACAAAATGCGAGATAACGTCGTTCTCTTACGTTTGCCAACAAAATCCCCCCCCCCCCCCCCCCTTTCGACACACGCACACTTTTGTGGAGGTTCACTGAAATAACTCACCCAACATCTTCGCTCCAACCGCCTACACGAAGCTTCATCTCAAAAGTGCTTGCTGCACACTGTTGAATTCTTTAGAGTTTAATTTGCCAACTCTCGATTTTACAAGCCCCTCCGTGCGCAGCTGCTTCTCCTTGGGGTAGATGTGGAAGCTGATGTTTGGATCGTTTGCGTAACTGCGGCATTGCGGCACCGAACAGTACTTTACCATTGCTCCCTGAGCTGGACAACTGCCGAAGCCGATCCACGCGTGTACTGATCAGGCTTCAAACACAGAAAAGAATGCGAAATGTACCGACCGAACGGTTTCCAAAGACCCTGACCAAAGCAAGGCGTATTAGCTAGCCTTACCGCGTGATCCCCCATCCTACGTCACGGTCGAGCTATCACAGCGCTCCAATCGGTCCCGGTCGGGGCCAATAACTCTAGAAGCGGGACCAGGTTGACTCCTGTTTGCCACACACGATGGAAATTATTCTTTTAGCTGTGATTGGTTTATAGCTTTATAACAAACTAAAATAAAAGGAAGATAAACATGACGTCTGTGGAGGTTCTGAAACTTAAACTGCATTTGTTCGGCATTGGGAAATACATTACAAGCCAGCTTTATTCAGAAGTCGAGTTTAAGTACCAATTTCGTATATTGTTTTTAATTATTAGAACTTAATTACGTCATAAATGTTTTTTTACATTGCCGAGAGTCAATTGCGTTAATCTTCTTTTCACATCAAGATTTAATTTTTTTTTTCTTTAAGCAACTAAATTTATATTAGAGACATCAGCAAGGTAGTGTAAATCCGCTAAGAGCTGGTAGAAATATTTTTATAAATTTAACTCTCCGTCTTGCGAAAATAAAAAAAAAAAAGTGAACATTTGCAATAAAATGAGAAAAATGCGTACTGCAACTTACAATAGAAAAATGTTAGAACCTTTTCTCTTTGTCTTTTTATATTTCTCTTCGGCGTGGCTTAATAGATTTTACGGCAGTATACACCTCTGCTAATGACCGTAGCACAACCAGTCGGACTGTCGGCTTCTCTGCATGTCCGAAACCAAAATGTGTTTCAATGTGTTACCCTTACCTTGACCACCAGTTTGTTTCCCGCGGTGTTATCTTCGACAGTTTGCTGAGTCAACTACCATGAAATATAAAACACAGCAGGATTCCGCGGACGTCTAACCAAGGACAAGTGTTTCTCTCCTACTCCTTTGTGAATACCTCTGCTGAGTGTCAGCAGAGCGTTGTTGCTACTACAGTTGTCAAGATCGCCGTCGGAGGAAAAAAAACAATGATTCCTTGAAAAAAAAGTTATCAAAATGTCAGTTTTTTCTAAATTTTGACATTCAATAACAGCAAAAATGTTCTACTAGTGGGGAGAATGCATGGCTAGAAACGTTTTCTGCGACATAACACAACAAAGACATCGACAAAAATAGAACAATGCTTAAAGTTAGGCTTGTCGGTTTGACATTATGATGTATACTGCGCTGCGAAGTGAGACTGAACAAGTAAACAAGTAAACTCTGAGAGGATATGATTGACAGAAAAGAACATGACGCCGTATATGTGAACTCGCAGACTATACTCTATATCACCATTTCACCTTATGATGTACCGCAGGAAATGCTATAAGCGCGAGCTCCTTGCTCTAGGGCACATCTCGGCGGCACAAGCTCTCGTGCAATAAGGGCCGCTGCCAACGCTACGAGCACGTGTTTCTAGCCTTCGCAGCTGTACAGCATAAGGTGAAACGGAGCATAACAACTGTTTATTTTTCGTTTCTTCTCCTTCCTCCTTTATACCCTTGTTATGAAGGATGACGATTGCCTGATTCGTCGAGGATGACATTAGTCATCCAGAGTTATCATCCGAGAATTATCTGCAATCTTCGTCCTTTAAAACAAGGGTATAAAGGAGGAAGAAAAAAACCCAAAATAAACAGTTTTTAGCCTGCGCTTTCACATGTACTTCATGTGCTTTTCTGTCTACCATATCGTCCCATAGCTTGCGTGTTTAAGTGTTCAGTGTAGCTTCGCAGCGCAGTATACCTCATAAAACAAAACAAAAAAAAAAACTTTTCGGCACCTAAGCAGGTGGCACTTCAGTAGAAACTGATGCAAATGAGTAGAGAACCTCGTTTGCATAAATCGCGTAGGAACTGACGCTCTCGTGCAAGAACTGGCACTCGACTCATTTACGTCAGAACTCACGCAATTGAGGGTCTCGCATCAATCGCGTCAGTTCATACTGAAGACGCCACCAGTACATACGGCGAACCATTTATGTATTCGTTGATACTTTTGATGCGTGAAGTCTGAGTAAACGGTTTTGAATTCCCCAAAAAGATGATACCTCACAGACAAAAATATGAGATATAGCATTGAATTCGCGTTGCTAAACAAGCGTCACATACAGCCAGCATCATCGATACAAGACGTGTACATCTCACGACCGACGCCTTCTCAGATTTCTAAAAAATAGCCACCCGCAAAACTTCAGTTTTACTTTGCGAACTCATTGGTGGTTATACATAAACTTTTGAGCGATTTTATTTTCCTGATATTGCAGGGAAGGCAATATTTGAAGCCTGTTCTTTTAAAGATACATCCGAAATCGTCATCTAATTTTATATTTGCAAAAAAAGGGTTATATCTCATGGGCACTTTACTTGAAGGGGTACGGTAACGAAATGACGTGGCCACGAACTCTCTACCCCTAGGTTCAAAGTCGGCCAGCGAGAAGCGCAATCCGTGTCGCGCTCGTGATGTCAATATTTCCTGTACAACCAAGGGTACTGTAGTTGCGAACGTTGCCACTTGGTGGCGTCAACGCGTGGCAATAGTAATTGTTAAAGCCCCTCGATATGTTTTCGTTTGTCTTTGCAAGTAGCGCCAAATGCGCGAGCGCACGTGGCCCAGGTCTCGAGCGGCCCTTGGATGCAAATGGCGGCGCAGCACTGAAATGAGCGGCCCTTGGAAGCGAATGGCGGCGGAGCACCCGCTCGTGGCACGTGTCTTGCGCATTTCCACAACAATGGTTGGCGGTACTTGTGAAAACACCTTTATCAAGGGGCTTTAGTAATTGTCACGCGTTGACGCCACCAACCGGCATCGCCTAATAGTAATACCTGACGACTGTACGCATTATCGCTTATATATAGCTTGCCCGTAACATAATTCAAGGCCATACAAGTATTTTAAGTGCCACGAGCATTCGGTTCACCGTGTTACTACTTAACGCCTGCACAGAACGACCATCTTGATGGTATGGAATGCAGGTTGCGGAAGCACTGTGGAAGTTAACAGATACAGCGTTGTAAACTCGTTAGCATTCCCTGCCAAGTCACATCCGAGGACTAAGTAACTCCATGGGAGAGCCATACTGCAACTAACTGGCGCTGTTTCTTAGATGCCGATGACGTAGCGGCATTCCAACGGAGCTTCACATACCGCCACTAGGCGAAATCTTGAAATCTGTCCATTCGTTTTAAAATCTGTTTTCTTGACTTTCCTGCCGGCAGTCCAGAAACAATAGTCTAGACAAGTGTTTCTGGGCTGCCGCAACAACATAGACCAGTGGTGGCCAAGCTGCGGCTCTTCGCGTGTCAAAGCGCGGCTCGCGGCTCCCTCCTCTCCCCGTCCTCTCTCTCTCTCTCCCCCCCCCCCCCCCCCCACCACCCTCCCGGTCACACGAGCACTTCCCGCAAAAGAGACATGGAACGCGTTTTAAATCGAACGACAGGTTGCTGTGTGGTAGTCTCGTGCTACTGCTTACCACGTACAGTTGGACTGCCTTTGACTCGGATAGATTGAAAGTACTTCGAGTTTCGTTTATAGCTCTGGACAAGTATATATATATATATATATATATATATATATATATATATATATATATATATATATATATATATATATATATATATATATATATATATATATATATATATATATAACCGAACCGAACCGAAAACCGGAACCGAACCGGTATTTTTTCCGGAACTGAACCCGAACCCGCACCGTTATATTGTTATCGCGATGAACCCGAACCGGAACTAAACCGGAAAAAAAAATAACGGTTACCGGCTCATGTCAAAACGGTTCGGCCACGCGCTGTTGACAATGAAGGTTCTATCAATGCCATTTGTTTTTTAAGTGCCGTCAACTGACACACACCTCGCTTACATATTTTTCTTCTCCACTCAGTCTTAGGAATATAAGCGCTGCATCCATGAATCTTGACAAACGCTGCATCCATGAATCTTGACATAGGAACCAGTATTGCGCTGGTCGCGGCTTGCACGGAAGAAAGAGAATTGGAAGGCTGTGCAAAAAAAAAAAAAAAAAATCGCGTCACGGGATTTTATTTTCCTACAATCTCGTAAATCCTAAATGCTGCTGTGTGCTCATTTCATAACACGTTTCTAGAACGCGCGAGTTCTTGAAGCTTGCTTCCATCGGAATGAGAAAAGAAAAGGCTGTGGAGTTTGATAATAATGCATCCGGTTTCGTATAGGCACTTAGAAGCTAACATATTTGTGAGACAGCGAACTCTTCTATTTTAATATTTATCCTATTACGTCTTTCTGGCGTTGCGTTCGGTGAAGTGTTTTTCATATTCCGTATCTTGTTTAATGAAAGCTTCTTTAAGGTTCTAATTTGAGTTACCGAAGGCTAGTTCAAATAAAGAAAGCTGTATTTTTTCCCCACTGTTCCTTCAATTGCTTACACGCCGAGGTGGCGGGATAGTTAGCGAGTTTTACTTGTAAGTGGGTTTGTAAGGAAGTCGCGGATTTTACAGCTACTGCGTCGGACCCAATTAGATGAAGTCCGAATGCGTAAACGTCGGTGAGGTAACCTTTGAGTGCACATAAAGAAACCATTCCTGGTAGAAATCCCTGAGCCTTACACTACGATGTATCCCGTTTCGTATGTGCTGATTTCAGATGTTTTATGGGTAATTTATTTTGATGTTGCAATTTGTCAGTTATAATTTCCAAACCGGTTCGCGAACCGGTTCAGCGCCCCGGACCGGTTCGCGGACCGGTTCGCGGATCGAATTAATCGAACCGGAACTGAATCGGAACGAAATAAATTTACATGAACCTGAACCGTAACCGAACTCGTATTTTTTTCGGTTCGACACTCTGATATATATATATATATATATATATATATATATATATATATATATATATATATATATATATATATAAGAATGTCTTGACCTTCTTTTTAAGGCTATAAACGGCATCACGATCATCCTTTACGGTCTGTATATACTTACAAATTTGCGGCAACATCCGCGCCGGCGACGAGTGGATATTGGGGCCGCGTGGCCAAATCCGCTCGTCACTGGCGAAAAATTTGCATCGGTCCGGGATCCCCATTCAAATTTTCCGCCAGCCACAAATTCATTTCGCCACCTGGCTCCAAAATTCGCTCGCTGCCGGCGCGAATCCGCCCGTAGAAGCGGAACATATCTTGTCTGCGTATTGCATACAACCTTCGTTATCGTCAGCTAGCAACATCCCTTAAGAACCTGTTTGAAACATTCATTAATCTTATGTTAGTGACACACGTAAATAGTCGAATCCTGGTTTCTTGAGCAGGAATGCCTCTACACGCACCTCCATGCTTCATGAAAATATTTTACGTTTTAACATTCTTCCTACACTGCGCACATAGAGGTTACGGGGCTTATTGCAGATGTGGAGCGAACTATTTTTGAGCAACCTATTGTGAAACCGTAAAGAAAATAGAAGTTCAAGGAAACGGCTTGTCAAAAGCTGACGTTACGGATTGCAGCTGGGATGCCTCGATGGCCCTCATTTTTTTTAAATATTACTGTTTTTTTTTATACGAGAATCCGTACACCTAGTATTTAATGCAATAATCAAAGCATTTTTTAAATTTTCTCATAAAAACGTAATTTAAGAAGCGTAAACGCGTAATTCGCAAAAATGTTTAATATTTTAAACGCGCAATTTTTTAAGAGCCTCCAAGTAATAGAAGATATTACAAAAAGATGGTGTGTCTTAATGTCCAAAAACAATATGTCCCAATAAGGCAAAGGACGGCTTCAACTGGGCGCAAGAAACGATGATGAAGAGAATACTCAAATTTATTCAGTCACGTTACAGAGTCCCCTTCACTCAACCTACCGTATGTGATCCTAAGAGACAAACCGCAATAGGCAATTTTTACGCGAACATTCAGGAAACCTAATTAACTAATATTTCTTACGAGTAAACTCGCGATACCCCTTGCTTTGTAATTAACTCAGATTAAGGCGTTATTAAACTCTGCGGTGAGTGATGTATCGTTGATAGGTGCCAAATATATTGGCAAATTTCAATCCAGAAACTTTTTGGCACATATGTATTCTGGAATATCATATAGCAAAAACAACAGCTTCCTAGTTCCTCTATCCAGTTTAGAATCAAGGTTTAGAATAATCATCCCGACACGCGTGTCAAGGTCATGGTTCCAGTTGCAGAATGGTTTATTAGATTGCACCTCAAACTATAAAAATCGCGCATGAACTTTGGTACGGCACGACAATAGGCCAATAAAAAGCGTGAGATAATTCCCTTTACTTATAATTTTTTCCTTTCGTCTGTGTATCCAAAAAACTCTGCCATCATGTGATACGTGACCTCTGGCACGTCCACTGCGGCATAATGTCCAGCCTTGATTAGAACCATCTCCGTAAAATTGCCGACTTGGGTCTTGTACCCCGCTAAGTGCTTAGAGCCCTCTCCCGCCATCCACTCCTCACGACTCTGTTTCTGGAAAGCCTTTGCACCTTTCCATTCAAGAGTCCGGTAGAACTTCTGTTGATTCACCGACGGAAACAGGGCATCCATCTGACCCGTGTAAAACAAAACCTTGTAATTGTTCAGGAGGTCAGTAATTCGCGGCGTGATATCCGTCAGGTAGTCAGCCTTCAGACCCAGCATGAGTTTGGTCATGTTGTTCTCAAACTTGACGGCGGAGCCCACGTGAACAGCTCTCTTAAAGTCCCTCGTCTGAACGTACTTCTCGTACGCCGTCATATGCGGAGGTTTATGCGAGTACAGGGTGCTGGCGTGGTTCTGGTATCCGGTCAGCCGCTGAAAGAGTGTGGGCTTTAGGTCCGACGTGAAGATGGTTCGCATCAGCAGCAGCAAGGCCATGGACTCGCTGAATTTGGCCGTGGTCCTGAGGCGGCTGAATCTGGTCGCGAATTGAGACCTGCCCCTCTCGGTGATCATCGAGTTCTGGAAGAGGAACTCTGCAGAGTCGGCGACCTCGAGGATGGGACCGAGGAATCCCACGCCGCAGATCAGGCCCCTCAAGTTGAGCGGCACGACTTTCTTTTTCCTCTCCTTGTGCAGGAGGTGGCTGATGCCGACCGTGTATCTCGCTGCAAACAAGAATAAAACTTTTCTTATAGCTCCCGACAAATTAAGAAACGTAGGGTATGGCCAGTCTCGGAAATCTTTGAATCGCTCTGCAGTCCAATGAGATGGAGGCATTGACCAATAAGAACTTCAGAGCACGAGTCACGAAGCACTGGTCGTAAATATAATAAACAACGCGCCACATTTCTTAAAGGGATTATCCGATCGAAACCCAAAGCACTCCTTACGTCAAGGAAGCCTTTATATGGAAAAATGTCAAGTTAATTTTTTTTTATTAAAGCTTTCGTGAGCGTGCATACGAAACTGCACCTTGAACTTATCCAGTGTCAATGGCTGACGTCCATATCTACTGCGTGACGACACATAACGCAAAGGATTGCCAGATGGTCGGGGTAACGAGCGTTGGTCGATGGATGTCTCGTATTTTGTTTTTAATCATATAGTCTCCTAGGTTGTACCCTACTGAAATGCGTCTCCTGTTATGCAGTTAAAAAGCGTGTGCGAACAAGTCCCGCTATTTAGAAGGATATTGCTCGAAAACAGTCTTTAGCTTAGAGCAAACGTATGCCCTTTCACGATTACATAACTGCGTAGGCCACCGATCGGATTTCGGGGAGTTAATAGGGGAGGGAAGGGGGGGGGGGGGGTGCGACGAAAGGCACAAGGGCCCAAGGTGCCGGGTGGCCTAGCTACTCCGCTGCACGCGGGTCAAACAGAATCGGGCTGCACATGTACTAAATGTAACTTTCGGCATCGTTTCAAGATGGCCTAGCTGTTGAGTTTTCGGTTTCTCTGCATAATCAAACCGACTGATTCGATTTGGTCGGCAAGAGAGTGGACGCGTAGTTGAATATCCTTAGCACAGCATCACACCTCAGCTTACGAGCCTTTTGTCCGCTTAGAGCTCAGCTCGTAGCTGTCTTCTGTAAAATAATCGCTGCATAAGATGGATCCCTATTTTGCAGAGCTGGCAGTAATGTAATCACTGTAATGAAATTACAGTAATTTAATTACTTGTTCCAGTAATTAGTAATGTAATTCATTACTTTTTGGAGCAGGTAATTTAGTAATGTAATGAATTACTCCAGCGACGGTAATTGTAATTAAATTACCTAATTACTTTTTCGCACCAGGCATATTTTTGTGTCCACAATACACAAAAGCGCTTTTCTTTTTCTTTTACTTCTTTTTTTCCTCTACACCTTTCCAAAAAACGCTCTTTGGCCGCCGCTATGTTGCTGATGCTAATGCGGCTGGTGCGACTCTCGCGCCCGCTATCAGCTAGACATTTTCTTCCACTCTCTTGAACTGTGAAAACCCGCTCAGCGCGATTCTCTACCTATGTTTTGCGGTTTTGCATTCGATGTTTTCTGGCCCCTTTTGAAAGTTTCCGCTTACTTTTTCTGATGTATGCTGCGTACCCTCTCTGTGTTATCTTCCACTGTGAGAAATAGGGCTGGTAAGTGCCTGCCATTCGAGCTTTTTTGCTCGACATTCTCGGGAAACGAAGGAGGGGAAGTAGGTCAAACTAAGGCCCCTGGTGGAACGGCCCTCGACGCGATTTTGCGAACAATGACAATTGTTCTCCCCCCCTCCCAGAGATAATCCGCGTAGGGTCCTCGATCATCTCCAAAAATAGTTGTCCGGGTTGGGGTGGGAAACGGATCAGTCGCGTGCGTTCCTCTGTTCATCGGTAAACATGTTATTTGTGAGCGTGAAAAATGCACGCCTTTCGGCTATCTTCTTTTGTAAATTATTTTCGACAGCTAAACGCTTTGTCGTTTGACACGCGGCTAATCGAACGGCGCCGTCAAAACTTACCGTAAAAAAAAACAAAAAAAAACAATAACTAACATTCCAGTCGAATTTGTTCTGTCGCGCGCGTACCCAACAAAAATAGTTTACTGCTTTTTTTTTCAAATGTGGTACAATGCTTCCCAATGTCCTGGGGAAAATACATGCAAAATGAAACACAAAATGCAGTGGGAAAACACGAGAATTTAGCCGCCAGCAGTGTTTGAAACTGCGCCTACACAGGCTGGGCCTGTGTAGGCGCAGCCTGTAAACGTATGCAAAAGTAATGCGAAAGTAATGTCATTACTTTTAAAAGTATTTTGTAATGGTAATTAATTACTTTCTGGCTGTGGTAATTTGTAATGTAATCTAATTACATTTCAGCAATTTTCAGCAAAGTAATTAGTAATGTCATTTAATTACAAAATATGAGTAATTTGACAAGCTCTGCTATTTTGACGAGAACCTTATGCTTCCTACGCACGGCGACGATCCATTTTGCTCGTCGCTAAGCGTCTCGCGGATCGCAGATGCTGCCCGGTGGTTGTGGCACCAAACCGCAGAACACAGTTCTCACCGATTCACGAAACAACTTGAGCACAACAACAAAAAGTAAGCACATTGCGGCATTCACTCGCAGGCAAACGACGAGACGGAAATGATCAGTTTCCGTTATGTGACGTCAGAGCTACAATGTTGCCAACGAAAGCACCGCTTACGCTAGGATGCCGATTGTAACAGTTTCACATTCAATCACTCATGCAGAGGGGCATATAAATAAAGATATTGCGGGGACTATGGTTTCGAGGCAGTAACAATTATATACAATTGTTTTCTCGCGCACGAAATTAGACCGGACAATCTCTTTAAGTTCTCAGTGAATAATTGATCAAAAAAAAGAAAATACGGAGGCTTGAGCGTGCCTTGGTCGCTTTGAAATTGTTTTATGGCTTCTGAGGCAGTGGCAGTATTCGCATGGTGCCTGGTGCGCGTCTCTGACTAGTGTGTTTAGCGTCCTATCCTGCCCATGCATAAAAAACGCTCCTGAAGGGGCCACAAATGACGTCAGAGACGCCGGAGTCTCATGCTGTTACATGCCGCGGTCTTGGCCGTTGGTCGTAGAAATTCTGTCGAAAAGCACGAGGGAACGCGAATGCCGCGGTTGTCACGGCGTTCCAGGCGTCCCAACTTCCGGCTGCTCTGTAGCTTCCGGTGACTGTCAAAATGAAGAGCGACTTGCCGCAGAACAGGCGTCTGCTATATCCACCACAGCTGCTGAAACACCGCCAGGGTCGCGACCGGCGTCAAAATGTCACTTCTTTGACGTCATCAGGCGGAAATCGAGGGGTCATTTTTTTGAACGCGGTAAAAACACCAGTCGGAGACGCGTTTCAGGCACCATAGTATTGGCAGGTAAGAACGCATAGGCAGAAAATACGAAGCATATAACGCTTGAAAAGAATGAGCCGTGTCCAGCGTTTGTTAAGCTGTAGGGAGCTATTAGAGCTGTTCGCTTTTAGAAAAGTTAGCGGCCCTCCATTCGTTCAACCCTTTACTTAAAGAGAAGCGTCATTCACAGAAGGCGGTTAACCAATTATTGAAAACATTAAAAGTCGAAACGCGATTAAACAGGAAACACATCAAGTTCGGAAGAACTAATGGGCATGGTATTTCACTCTCTTAACGTCCTTTCGGATTCATATTTTTAATGTTTTATTATACTCGGAATTTTGTCATTTCTTTTTCGAAAGGATCGGTACCAGCGTGCTCTACAGAAAAAAATAAAAATAAATCACAATATTTTTTTTTTGTTTTATTATAGAGCGCTGGAGGTGTACTCATGCATTTTAAGCTGAATTCAACGTTTCTGAGTTCTGGAGATAGTATGAAGACCACCAAGCCCTTGTTTCAGCGTGACGATCGTGGCCAATTACAAAGCTCGGCGTACGGAAAGGTTCAAAGAAAGTTCAGACCTAAGATAACTCCTTTCGCTGCTACACGAAGCATATCGTTCCTCCAGGCTCACTCTAACAGTACGTACTATCTTTATAGGTCTAGACACATTTTTATAGCCTCGTCCTTCGCCGAGCTTCCTTCGTAGATTACAGCCGTCGACTCTCCCAAGTGCCTGACGGGAAGGTATAGACGTACCAAATAGTTTTACAGTTGTTTATTTTCTCTTTGCTTTATTTTATTTTATTTTCATTGGTCGTGGTCATGTATCTGCTGGATGTCGAGTCATGCCCGCAAGCACAAAAGGGCTTTTAATGGCAGGTCCCGAAAAATTACGTGTACACTATGCGTTTCTTTTTTTTTTTCAGTAAACTTACTATTATTACTTTCAAAATGTGCTGGTTTTTGAAGAGTCAGCTGAACGTTTTCCTTTCTATCGTGTGTCTCCAATAGCGTCCAGGCTCTTTAAATCGACCGCAAAATTCGGTTTCTTAACCTATCACGTTACGATTTTGTGCAGCGTTGCCCGCAGGTGGTGCATTTTTTTCTATAAAATTTGCAAAGAGCGAACTTACTTGAGGAAAAGTAAAGAAAGAAAAATGCTTAACTCCTATGGAAACCCAGTGAAGCCACCGGTATTCAATCAATAGGGCGCCCTATTGATTGAGGACCGGTGACTTCGCTGCGTTTACATAGGAGTTAAGCCTTTTTTTTCTTTTTCCTCAAGTAAGTTCGCTCTTTGCAAATTTTATAGGACAAATACACCACCTGTGGGAAATTCTGTACATAATCGCAGCACGATAGGTTAAGAAGCCGAATTTTGCAGTGGATTTTAAGAGCTTGGTTGCTACTTGAAACATCCGGTATATTCTTGACCAGTCAATCATTTCGCCAGCTTTATTGTTTTATTCACCTCTTTGTTTAGCACATGAAAGGGGTTTGGTGGAGGTTCAAAAGCAGAATTTCAAAGCTTTATTGAGTGACAATTTAGATCGCGCGCCACAGCTTTCTTTAAAAAAAATAGAACTGTCAGGAAACTTTTGTGCCTTTGACCTTAACGTTCGTTCACTATTAATGAAGAAGAAAACACTTTAAACTGAAAAGTATGCAACATTCTACAAAGTGGATATGGACTTTACACCTACAAAATGAATAACGCTGGTACAATCATTATATAGGAGCCGGACTTAGAACTTGAATGAGCTCCTTGAGAAGCCATGAAGAAACCACCCTTATAGCAAGAAGTAAGTGGGCCTTTTTTTGTGTACTAAAAATGCTGCCCTAAAGCGATCAGCTAAATATGTGTCGTTTGAATGAGGAAGTAAATCGTCATACTGTGGCTAGTAATTTTAGGTTCAAAGGTTTTACAGTGACCGAGACGAACACAAACACCCAAAGCAAATCATTACCTCCGTAAGATTCTCCCGCGACGTAGAAGTCCCGGTCCTTGAACTCCGGAAACAAGAGGATAAATTGTTGCAGAAATTCTAGCATATCATTGCTGACTTCGTCGAGGGAGTAAGCGAGACCTTGTAGTGATGTGGTGTAGCTAAACCCTGCGCCAACAGGTTCATCCAGAAATATTATATTCATCCGTTGTTGTATGGTGAGCTTTCTCGGAAAAATCTTTCCGCTGGCATCGATTCCAACGGGTCCCACTTCCAGAAACTGCCCAAAGAGCGAGGAGAGGCCCGGTCCTCCTTGAAGCCAAAGTAACAATGGCGCAGTCGATGGGCTTTCCTGAAATATTGGGGTGTTTGGTTATTTACGAATCAGCGCTTGTCTAGTTTAAAGTATTGGTTCTGGCCACATTCGTGAAGCTAAGAACTTGTTAAATATTGAATTTGAACGAGGATTTTCTTGTCACTAAAAACAGTCCTGAGGATGAAGTTGCTCATTATACTTCAATATAACACGTTGCTAAGGCCAGCCTTCAATACACGTTTTGCAAAGCGTGCAACGTCGCCAGCGTTACCGAAATTAATGCCGCGCACAGCCTTAATGGAACCGGCTTTGGCTGACGATGGAGCCGACTTTGGAGGTGACGTAGGACAGGAAGGCAACCGAGTACAAGCGAGCAAAAGTAAAAGTAGTGCTTTCTCTCTCTCTCTCCTCCTTTTTGTTTTTTCTCGCTCTCTTCGGTGTAACGGGTTCAAGATGTAAAAAAATGAGGAAAAGCAAACAAAACGGTCCCATAATTTGTTGCATGCTACGCTCGCAACTTTTGAGGGGATTTGGGCAAAATGTCTATTGGCACACTAGATAGACTTTACAAACAAATAAGACCAAGTAACAAATCACTGAGAAGGAGAGGAAGAAACATTTAACCACATACTAAAGTATTACATATTTTGTAAATAGCATTACTTTACATTTACTCAAAAGTATGGGTTACGACTTGTTCAATGATGAAAAACACGCTCAATATAATAAAGTAAAACGAAATCTGATTGTTATCTGCTTGTTTTTGTTTATCTAAGGATATTACCTTTGCCCGGATAAGCAGAAAAAAGAGATTACTGCTAAACTCTTTGTCGACCGTGATGTATCCCGAATGGGCTGCCGCGCCTGCAGCTCTGCTGAACAGTTCCACGTAGCTTAATCTCCTTGCTTCATCGAGGTTTCCTCGCTTGATGTATGGCGTAAGAAACAGAGAATTCTCTCTGAAAAGAAACGCGAGTTTGACGTAAACGTCAAAGAGCTACAATCTCTTTTGAATTTCGAGCATACGCATTACTAGGAGAACAGATTTTACTCCGCTCATTTGCATTAAGGAGCGCACATACAGCACCAAATCCTCCTTTAAGGGTGAAGACGGCCCGCTTCTGAGATACTTTATGCGTACTGGGCTGTTTCCGCTGACGCGCTTTCGTGCTGCGGCGAGGGAGGGGACCGCCGACGAGTCACCGAGATACCGGATTTGCCAAGACAACAAAGACGGCTGTCTCGACTCTCTCGAAGGCTGTGTCCACGACGATAGACGGTGGCAGCCACCCCTCCCAACTCAGAGGCTGCCCTTGTCCATTCGTTTTTACTACGCAAACGCTGTAAGCACTGATGCTATTAGATTTTCGCGGAGTGAGATCTATTACCTGTAGTAAGATACTTCATTCGAGCATGGTGACTCTCCTCGAAATAAAATCATTGCTCAGAAATGTTTCGCTCGAATGAGTACTCGTTAGCTTGATATGCAACGGAACGAGCTCGAAGAACGGCGAAGCTCAATATAGGTTCAAATCTAAAGGCTCTGTTATACTCCCACGTTGAGCGTAGTAAACGCGCTGTAGAGCAGCGCACACAGATACAGACTGGACGCCGATATCCAGTTCCTGCTCGGCGGCCCAATAAAGGTGCACGTCCTGCGCTACGCTGCGTTTGCTGCGCTCAACGTCGGATTATAACAGAGCTTTAAAAGGCAGTCAGCGCTTTGGTAGCAAGCACGACGTTACACCATGCTCAGTGTAGAAGAGTTAAAGGTTTCTAAACGCGTTAACATTTAGAAACCTTTAACTCTTCAACCTAATAGCCAATCTCTGCGATCTATGAAATCAGCTCAAATCGCAGAGATTGGCTCTTCGAGTGTTTTGCGGGTAAGTATGCGCGCAGGCATTTCTTAGAGTGTGAGGTTTATCGTGAAACGGAGCGTAAGCGAAACATAACTTCACCTGCCTACCTCAGATTCATATAGCTGCAATATATTTCCCATTTAACGAAAGGTTGCAGACTCACCCGTTTGCACTTGATATTGGTGCCAGAATTAAAAAGACTAAATGTGGGAACACCAAGAGGCTGGCCATGTTTTTAAATTATCCACCTCAAATGTGAGCTACCTGAGGCACATGTTTATGCCTGTACGGAAAGTTTTAAACCTTGACGGACATCCAAGCGATATGAGCCGTTGTGGTTCACATATACGATCAACGAGAATAAAAGCGAAAGGAAGGATTTGTTTTTTTGAAAACCAGACTAGCCTTTTTTTAAACCAGGAGACTGTCATATTCCGTTGCCTTTCTTCCTTCAAGTTGATCGGACCACCCATCAAATTGTTTTGCGACGACATGGCATTGTTCTTAAGCCCGACGAACTCCACCTGAGACAAAACATAGACGTATATGAAGCTGCAACCGTATGCATAGAAGACGCATTCCGTCATCTGCCGGTATAGGTGGTGAAGCAGTGGAGGTTAAAACAGGCAATTTCGCTTTATTATGTCCCTCTATACTTAAATTCACATCAAGAAACGCAGTAAGAAAAAAGGAAAGGTTCGACCTCTTGCGGAGCGTTGCTAATTTCCTTCTCGGTGTGTTGAATACGGATATATCTTGGTTCCCTTTATATATATATATATATATATATATATATATATATATATATATATATATATATTTCGTCGTTGTGTCAACAGAAATAGCTTTTAGTGCACTAGAGGCGTGTGAGTGTCAAGGCCAAAGACCGCGTTAAGAAATTTTGTGAGCATAGCGATTGCCTTTTCGTCGGGCACAGATTTTGTAAAATATTTTGTGAGTGAATTTTGTTAGGCCGATTTCGTAGAGTTACGGAAGTTCGCCACACGAGTTCTACGACAATATTGGGCTAGAACTCGCGTCGTTAATGATTGAACACGAGTATTATCCAAACTCTGATGCAAAACTGGTGTCCGATATTCACCGCACTGACCTCCGAGTGGTAGCCAAGAGAAAATTCATCAATACAATCTAAATTATTAAAAAACAAATCCTAAAGGCACGGGACAAACACAAAACGGGGACAGAACTGCAACGACTGTTCGTCCCGTGTCTATTGTTTACTTCTTCTTTTTTAGTAATTATGCATCACCAGTTCCGCTGCGCGATAATACTTATTTTGTTACGGGACTTTTTAGGCCATTTACACACCAGCGTTCGATTGTGCTACATTCGACGTGTTGCTTATCTCATTCAAGTAGATCCAAGTTACTCTCGCGAGCCATTTGGAAAGATAACCTAGACGTAACGATGGTAGGCACGTGTGGGTTTTTGAACGTCAAAGTGCAAAACCTTTACTGCAGCGTGAGACTGAGTAAATTTGGAGCACGACGCAAGTGATACAACGTCAAGTCGCCAGCACATCCGTGGTTTATATGTTCGTGCCAACTACTTGTATTGTGTGGAGTTTTGTGTCGTCCGTCCACCTTTCTACCCGTTCTCCTGGGTTGCAATTGTTGCGTTTATATTGATGCGACCATGTCGCATAGAATCGAGATTTGAATGTTGTTATTGGCTGGAGATGGGTAGAAAAGGAAGAAGGAGGGAGGCACGGTGCGTGTGATTGGTTCCCGCTCGATTTGATACGCTTCGAAGGTAATGCTGTAAACCAAACCCAGCGTTACTCCGTTGTGGAACTGACGCAGAGTACCCACTAACTCCCTGCAGTCCGCCTCCCGCCGTTTGGAGCGCTATCTAGATTTTTTTTAAAGCTTATTTGTTCCATAGACTACAGTAAAACGCCATCTAGACGCTCTGCTTTTAAACAAACGTATTTCATAGAATACACTGCCTTTACCATAGGGTGATTCCACATCAATTCATGCAATGATGGTCCGGGTCATATTTTAGATATTTTTGTTAAAAATATATATGAAAGCCATGTTTTTGGGAGGAACATTCAGCTATATATGAACGCCGTAACAATTTTTTTCGCTGAGATATAAAATAGAGAAGCTTGAGGCGTGGAAATTGAGATTTCACAATGCTACTTTGCACAATCGTCATTTCCTTATCGAACCTTTCACGGCACCATAACTTTTTTAATAGGTTTTACTAAAGTTATACAACACATACATAAAAAATTAAAAATATCCATAAAATATTTCAATGCAAACAAAAATATCAAACATGGCACGCGTTTTAGAGACATATTCACAATTTTTTTACAAATAAACCATTTTTCATAATACTTCACAAAACACATCAAAATGCGCGTATTTAAATATTCTTTACGAATATATAAAGATAATATGCCCACCCTTAAACATATTTTTGTTATCAACTCGGAAATTCGGCTGATTTCTCAAAATGTGGCAAGATTGGGCGTCGATATTTAAAAAACTCCATCTTTTATTTTCTTTAAACTCCCCTTGGCACTTTGCAGTGACTTGAACTAACCTGTGATGGCAAAAGATTGAGTAACATATGACCTCCAAGCGGGACAAGCTACGACAAACCTTCACTCGGAGCGAGCCGACGTCTTCGTCATAGCGGCTTTGCCGCACAGCCCCAAACGTTTTGAGCGTTAGTTATGGCATGTATTTTATATTATTAAAATTCTTTTTTTCATAAGGGCTGAGTATTAGTGACGCGAAAATGGACTTTGAGCTGGAATACCATTAATTAGCTTACAATTCACAGGAACAAAACGGCCCCACTGTGCGAATTCGCTAACTATGCATAGATAAGCTTAAAACTCTCAGTTATTCGAGTGGCCATGTATACATCCGGCCTCTCGGCATATGATGACTTCCACAGATGAGAAGCCTGGATTCCCCTCACAGGTTTTATGGTGGTCCACTCTGCTTGGTTTACCGCACGAAACTCTCGAACCCGTTCCACAGACAGGTGGAACATGCATGACATTTGTTACTTTTTTACGTAGCACTTCCACAAAGTCTTTAGCGGTGGCAATCGTTGAGTTGAGCGAAGGTCTCAACTTGGTGAGCGTTGGTTCTTCCACCTACTTCATCACAAGCGCTTTCTCCGTGTCCAGTGGCTGAAAAGATCCGTCTTGCCGAAGAGTGCGGCTTCCGAGACAATTCGTGGAATTGGAAGCGATTCTTGAAATGCGCCGCCGCTCCGTCTGATACAAAAATTATTTCAAAAAAGACTGGGAAATGAACATTAACATACTCTTTTATGGCCTATGTGGCTAGAAGAGCGTGAGCTGTGTCATGTGTCGTGTACCATCGGTGACAACGGCAAAGCTTTGCGTGCCTTGCGTGGACGTACCGCACTTGTGGACGTACCGCACTACAGACTTTACAAAGGCGTTTGACTGCCTTAGTCATGTGGTTTTACTTAAAAAGCTTGAAGCGTATGGCATCCGCGGACAAGCTCTGCTGCTTTTGCAGTCCTACCTAGAATATCGCCAACAGTATGTAAATGTAAACGGTTATTCATCCACTGTAAGGTTCATCACGTCAGGGGTCCCACAGGGGAGCATATTGGGACCTTTTCTATTTAATTTATATATTAATGATATCGTTAACGTAAATAAGCACGCAAAATTCGTGATCTACGCGGATGATACGAGCGTATTTTTTTCTTCCGATACTTGCGACGATTTAATCGATATGGCAAATTTGACCTTATCAAAGATAAAAAGTTGGGAAGATAGCAACTCCTTGAAAATCAATATTCATAAAACAAAAGCTGTGATTTTTCGTCCAAAAAACAAGCCTGTGGTGCTGTCTAAAGTGCTCACTTTTAGCTCTACTCCAATCGAAATTGTTAGTTGTTTTAAAACTCTTGGAGTCATTTTTAGTTAGGGTATGTCTTGGGATAACCATATAAATTATCTTATCCCAAAGTTAGCTCGAGTAGTGGGTATTATAAATCCATACAGATCTGTGTTACCAACAAATGTTAAATTATTGCTTTATAAATCATTATTTTTCTCCCACTTAACGTATTGCCACCTTGTTTGGGGAACGTCAACATTTACCAATATTGATAAACTTTTTATGTTGCAAAAGAAAATATTGAGATATATATGTAACGTGCCACGCGACTTTCATACCGCTGATTTATTTAAGAACTTTAAAATAATCACTAGTCACAATTTATATCAGTATTGGCTTTCTACTAGTTATAAAAGTGAAAAAATAAGAGGTACATGTCTTTTGGAAAACCTTGCGTCGCTGAGGAAAGCTTCTCCTCCGTATCCTACCCGTAACCCAGAGAAATGGAAGATGGTCACGCAGCGAACAAATTATGGCTCTCAAATGTTAAGCTCCACACTCCCGCATTTGTTAAACAACCTTAACAGCAATAACATTGACCTAGAAAATCTAGCCTTTAGAGACTTGCGCTTATTATATGCTTGTACATGATCCTTTTCTCTCTTAACATTTGCAGAAGGTGCTTTTAGTTTTGTGTACTGATTTGTAACATCATTGCCTCTAGCACGTTATTATGTTGTTTTTTGTTTGTTTTCCCGCATGCTTCCGCTGTCCATTTTAGGGGCACAGGGACTCGTCAAGCTGCTTACTGCAGCTTTTTTTCTTGGGCCCCACCATCATAAAGGATGGAAATAAAGCATTATTATTATTATTATTGTGGAGAGAGACACTTGAGTTTTTTTCAATGAAAACTCTGCACTTCGGTTGGAAAGAGTACTGTCCATTTTTCCGCAAAATCCAAGTGGAACATCACTGCCTTGGGTGGTAAGGCGGTTCTTGTGTCATGTATCAGGCTTCGTTCAAGGTCAAGGATGTAAGAATGCCTCATATACTTTTCGCTCTCTTATTGCCGCAGGAAGGCAGAAGTGTCCATAACCTTTTTGACGAGTTCGCCAGCGTCCCATAACGCGAAACAGATCTCTTCGTCTTCGTCGAGATGAAGCGACTGCAGCGAGATGCTCTGAGTTTTTGGGCACTTTTCGCAACGGCGCAGAAAGCAATCGTTCTGTGGAGCACAGAAGAAGTAGATGCGCTTGAGGTCGTCTTCAGTAAATGTCTTCTTTTGGGCATTTGTTATTGCCGTTAAAAGCAACTGAAAATTGACGCAATATATGCATGCGCACACCTCGTGCTCGGGACTTTTTTTTTTTACCCATTTTGGTCGTAGGGAATAAAATTTGGAGATGCCTAGTTCGGGTTGGGGATGGTCCTTCCTAAACAGCTGGTAAGTTTCCTTAATAGAGCGGGTCATAAACCTTTTTACGACTTTGAACATGTCGTTGATCATGGCTTTGACGACGTCCTTTTTGTCGGGGCTTTGAACGGAGCATGCGAGGTCGTCGCGTGTGTAGTACTCAATTGCAACCACCACGTCTTCGGCATTCGCCTTTTTCCCCATGTAGGGATCAGGGGTTGCCCAAACACCACCTTTGCGCTTCAGTTTTCATGTTTGATCAATCATGTAGGCAGTCGCACCCGACACCAGACGCAATATTGTTTTC